TGGAAGTAGTAGTAGTTGAAGTAGCGGCAGCAGCAGTAGTACTTGTACTCAGTGGCAGTAATTGTTATAGTGGTTTTAGTGGCAGTAGACTTCGTTTGACGTGGATAACTTTTAATAGCAATTGAAATATGATCTGATGGCCCCAAACTATTCCCTCATTAATCCATTCATTATTCTGCACTTACGAATAAGCACAAAAAAGAAAAAAAATTAAGGGAATACATCTGGGAAATGGGGAGCCACTGCACAAATCGGTCGACGCGTGACACCGTTACTCTGTGTATCCGTACTCTGATAAAGCATGCGGTTTTAACCAATCAGAACGTGTGTTATATAGAAACCTTGTTGTGACTGCCTTTCGAACTCTAGCAATAATTATCTAAGTTGCGGTCGATTCTTTCATCTTCCTTTTGATCAAACTATGCTTCCTAAGCATGGACGAACGTCTTGTAAGAATTTGTACCTTCAGAAAACGTCTTTTTCATCGGTTCTTCGTCTTGTCACTGGTACTGTTTTATTTATCTATCCCAGGAGGTAAAAATCATTTTTCATCATTCGAAGACAGATTTTTTTTAACAGATGTGGAAGCGGAAATCAACCTCGTTTAATTTGAATTAAGAAGCTTTGGCCTCTGCGTATCAATTTTATCCGTTTAATTCTCCCGAAATTTACAATGTAATCGAGTTGAATTCTCTTGAGTACGAGAGAAGGATCTTTTCAAGTTGAATTTGTTGAAATTCAGTGTTTCAGTTGATTTTCTTAAGCAAAATATTTCGATATTGTAATTTAACTCGAATGTTTCGTTTTCTAGTGTTATTTCTTCTCTTAAATCTGCTAATCCGCGTTAATGCAGCAAGAGTTAATCGAATTAATTGCTTTCTAGGTATAAGCTCGTCTATTTTTACCGAGATATTCTCCGAAAATTGCTTAAACTTTAAGCTTATTTGAATAAATACTAATTATTACCTTAAAATATTCCGACTGTTTATAAACTATTTACCGATATACTTACTGCTGGTCTTATTTATGTTTTGCATGGAGAATTTGCCTCGATGGGAAGTGACTGTTTTCTGTCTTTACGTTAATGTTTTGAAACATTGATATTTCGATATAAATGATATCGCAGCATGTAAATGCATCCTAGATTTAATGATGTTCAAGGAAGTTTTTTTTTTAAGTTATGCAGCCTTTCTTCATTAAGAGCTTCCTTTTGTAGTAGCACTTATATTATCTCACCGAAAGAATGAGGAAAGCGGATCAGTCTAAGTGTGGAGCGAAGATATGCTGAAAAAGAAGCAAACCGCAAGTGGTCACATAACGTTATTTTTTTTTTTGGCATGTTATATTTATACTTTTGTGCACGTCCTATGCCAACTAAAGTATTTTTGAAATTGCAGATCAAGCTGAGATCATTTCTCATCCTCAAGCTTTCGTCACAGAAGAAGAGGGAAATAATTTAACTTTATTTTGTAATGCCACTGGAAACCCAGCAGCGAAAATATTATGGACCAAAGATGGTTCCGTTATAGACAATAATTCCAGGATCAATTTTTCAGAAGATAATAAGCGCTTGAATATACGAAATGTAAACAGAAAAGACAAGGGGAGTTACCGATGTGTGGCGAACAACAGCCTTGGAAATGATACTTCAAACGTTTCTACTGTTGATATCCAATGTGAGTTCTTATCTCTACACTCTAATCTTAATAACACTCTACTTCCTTCGACCTGGGTATGAATAGTATTTTGAAACCAGACCTCCACTGAATACAGCTCTCTACACACTTCTCACTTTGTTTTCGCCATGGTCAACTTTTGTCACAATTCTCGTCTGAGAATCATGGTCCCTGATTAGCATCCGGTCATACACGCAGCAGCACACCTTTCACCCTATAATTTTATTTTAAAATAACAGGGCTGTACTGTCATTTATGCATTTTTATGCATATGACTTTTTGCTTATTATTTATTTACCCTATGCTAACCAGATAGTTTTAAAAATTGCAGTTAAAAATTGCAGATAAACCTGATATTACTACTCGTCCTAAAAGGAAGCAAAAAAGGGAAGGAGGAAACTTGACTTTTAGTTGTCGTGCTAAACATACCTTATTAAACCAAATCTACCTAAGCGAAAGTCAGGAACAGAGAACAAAAAATCTAAACTTTTGATAGGTTTTCAATTCGTTGCAAACGTTTATTTTCAACATACCTTGTTTAAGTCGGCATACATCGGTTTAAATAGCAAACAGTCTTAAACCACGCTGAACAAAACATCTTTAAGAAATTTTTGAGGCTTGGTTTGAATGAGGTACAAGGTTTGTTTTCAATATTACAGATCGACCTGAGATAGCTGCTCTCCTGCAGGATATTACGAAACCAGAAGGGGAAAATGTGTCATTAATTTGTAATGCCACTGGAAATCCAGAGCCTGAGCTGTCATGGTTTAAAGATGAACACCTCGTAAATAGCAGCAACAGGATTAGTTTTTCAGCAGGCAACAAGTCGCTGATGATAGCGAATGTGAACAGAACAGATAGCGGAAAATACCTTTGTGTCGCCCATAATGAAGTTGGAGACGCTACCTCGAATATCACCATATTAAATGTTGAATGTAAGTGAGCACTATACTTTACAAATGTAGAAGCCTTGACTGTGCTCTGTGCTGTAGTAAAACACGCAAGAGGCGGCTAGAGCACGAAAGAAGTGTAAGAAGAAACACGGGACGTAGTCGAGTGTTTCTCCCCATTTCTTGATATCTTAATATCCGAGCAAATTTTTATTTCAGTTCACCTGAAGGACATTAGATGAAATTTCAGATCGCCATGGTCATGGCGATCTGAAAGCAGTCGACCTGAAATCGTAACAATTTGTATAAATTTTTGACAGTTATGCCAGTGTGGATATAATTTCAAGTTTTATCATTCCTGTTTTGTTCTGTTTAGTTTTTAAACACGTAACTATACACTACTTTACGAGTATCAGCTGTGTTTGATTTTTGTTACCGTACTTAAGCTTACAATCTAACTGAGCGAGAAAACATTCGAAAGTCGGACTTTCCGTTCCTCTTTTTCTTTCAGGATTTTGGTTTCTGCACAGCACGTTGTAATAATGCAAATTACGGCGCTTGGCTTGTTTACAAACCTTTGTTTGGTTCTTCCGTTGCTACTTTCCGGCTTGCTTATTCCGAAATTCCACTTTCAATTCCACTAATGAAAAGAAGTTAGACTAATACAAGCAATGACGGCGTTTTATCAAAACCTTATTACAAAAAAAAATTATTTATGTGTTCATAATCAGCGCACAAGGGTCCGCATCATAGTGGAACGTATATGATAGGTAGATTCTTTTCAGAATAACTAACCAAGAACCATTTGTATAAAGATACTGAGCGAATAAAGCCCTAGAGGAAAATTCTTATCCGTCGGTTTATTCGTTTCAGATCAACCGGAAATTATCACCGATCCCTCTGATGTCTCGGTGAAAGAAGGAAAAAACACGGCATTATATTGTAACGCGACTGGAAATCCATTGCCAACAATATCATGGAAAAAAAATGGAAATCCTATCGGCAATAATTCCAGGATCAGTTATTCAGCAGAAAGCAAAGAGTTGAAGATAATAAATGTGAACAGGACAGACAGTGGAACATACCGGTGTGTGGCTGTCAATAGCATTGGTAATGCCACCTCACGTGATGCTACATTAGATGTAGAATGTAAGTATTCCTAATAATGATAGTAATAATAGTAATATTCATTGAGGGAACTCAACTCGCCAAGGCAGTTTTCTGGCAGGCCCAGTGAAATATTTCATGAATCGTTCTAACTTCTTCAGTAGAGAGTCAGCTGGAAATTCTGGAAAACTGTCCTTTTGACCTAGATTTTCTATGTGCTCTACCGATATCCTATGTTGGAAACAGTAGCAAACCTCAATGTTCCAAATATAAGGAGGTGTAGGCGTTTATCACAATGCGATTTGTAGTTGATATGCTAATGTTTATTGCTATGTGGTTGCCAGTAACGCAAAGAGGGTGTTTGTTTTGCAATTGTAGATCAAAGTGAGATCACCACTCATCCTAGTAATGCGACAAAAAGAGAAGGAGAAAATGTTACGTTACACTGCAATGCTACTGGAAATCCGCTCCCCACTCTATCATGGACAAAAGATGGGTCTGACCTAAGTAACAACTCAAGGATCAGCTTTACAGGAGACAAAAATGATTTGACCATTACCAGTGCCAAGCAAGTAGACAGTGGAGCATACCGTTGTGTGGCGAATAATAGCCTTGGAAATGATACTTCTAATGCTGCTGTCGTAAATGTCCAGTGTAAGTGCCGTGGAGTGTTCATGAGAAAACGAATTATTTGAATCATTATATGAGTCTCGATAGTCCTTGAAAAGGTCCGTTGTGTTTTGGTCCAAAAAAGGTGTACGAGTCCCGCGTCCTTATCTTAATTAGTTGGCTAAACAGTCGCGTTTATGCTGTTCATTTTAGAAATTCTGGAAAAACTGTCCTTTCGGTCTAGATTTTCTAATTGCTTTACCGATATCCTATGTTGTAAACAGCAACAACCCTCAATTTTCCGTGTATATGGAGGTGTAGGCGTGGATCGCATACAAAGTTCAACAAAATTTGTAATTAATATGTATGTGGTTGCCAGTAACGCAATAGGGGGCATTTTTTTTTAATGCGCACGTGTTCTTTTGGCATGTGCTTGTTTACAGCTCCTTAGAAACTTATAAACATGTTCCTTTAAACGTCATTTTCAAATTTGTGAAATTGCAATAGATTATAGGAATGGAAGTCGTGACTTAAAAAAGTACTTTTATGTTTAATCTAAATTGTTCTTTTGACTTCACGATTTTGCCTTCAGAACCTAGCGGTGCACCACAAGCTGTTACAATTAGTGTTGCATCCTCAAAAAGTATATCCGTTTCATGGGATCCTGTCATTGCTGATGATCGAAATGGAATCATTAAAGGGTATAGATTGACTTATCAGGCCTTACCAAATGGTGACATGGTCGCCAAGTTCCTCAATACCACTTACGAGCAACAAAATGAAACGCAAATACTTATTCTAGATGATCTGAATGAGTTTACAAACTACAGCATTACAGTGTTAGCGTTTACTGTTTTTGGAAATGGACCAGCAAGTGTTGCCCAGGTTGCGGAGACACTGGAAGACAGTAAGTTTAAGTCAAACGTATTTGCTGTTATTTCTATGGTTTTTTTTCGTTACTGCCTCGCACAAAGCAGAGACAGAGATGACCACGGTTATTGAGGTCAATATAAGAACATTTCCCATACAAGTTAAATATGAGCTAGAATAGGAGAGAAAGGCGTGTCATAGTGTTCATTGCTTTTGCGGAGTGGTTTGTGTCGAATGAGGAGGGTGCAGATCATCATGAGAAAAGAATGTCTCTCAAATAGTACCTGATGCAGTAGCGTTTAACGCATAAGCTACTCTTACCATACAGATAAAATAGAGCAGTGTCCGTACAGTATAATTATATACTGTAAGCACAGTGATCAAGTCTAACTCTGAGATTGATTTTTTGCGTGACTACAAGTAAGTAACTTGTTTCCTTTAGCCAGAGAGAAATAACAAGAGAAAGTAGGAAAAATTAATTGGCCATTTAGCAGTTTTACACATACTGGATTCAAAAAAGGATATGACTGAGTTCCAAATGTGATAATGTGAAATATTCACTGGTCTTTTATGTCACTACAAACAATATTTTGAAAATTATAACACAGGAAAAAAGTAAAGTCCTTTAAAAGAAATGATGGGTATACGGGACGCAGCGCAATTTCATCTCTATTTTGTTTTGTTTTGGACTGTAGACTTTCGCCGTTAAACAAAACTGTCATGTTGAAAACAAAGAATACGCAGGGGCGGAAATAATGCAAGTATTTTTCATCGTGCCAAAATCAAGGGTGTTTATAACATAGCTTGTAAATTCGTGCAATCAAATTCAACAACGCGAGCGTGCTTCAATTTTCCATTGTGCACGCTTGTGACGTCGGCAAACAAATGCCCCGCGAAAAAATTTTTTTCTTGTGAGTGACTTTAGCATTTTTTTTTAAAAATACAGGAAAAGCTTCCGCAAAAAGGTTAAACTAGACATGGCAACAAGCAAACAAGCCGATGAAGATCAGCCTACTTTTTCTTTGGGAATGGATTTTTTAACTCCCGAGAAAGAATCCAGAGAAAGGGAAAACAAAACAATCAGCGCCGGTTTCATCTCGTTTGGCAACTCTAACTTCATTTCTACGCGTGAATTCACCTGTCAGTTTTTGACCAATCTGAGACAAGATCATTGAGGCACAGCAAAATACTTTTGCGAAACAAAATGAATAAACAACGCATTGAAGCGTAGAAGAGGGAATTTCTGCCCTTTTTACATAAACTACAGCGTTGAAGATGTTATAAAACAATTGGTTCATACGTCAGCTGTGCGTTCATCAAGACATGAAGCACTTGGGAAGTTTGGAGAGCACTCAAGAAGCTTAAGTTGCTCTCGGCTACGCCTCGAGCAACTCTTACGCATCTTTCTTGCTCTCTAAACTTCCCGCGTGCTTCATATCTCGATGAACGCAGGCTGACGTATGAACCAATTGTTAACTCCACCCATTATCTACAAAGATACATTCATGTATGTTTAGTCTACTTTGTTGATTATTTCAAATTAGAAACGGTCATGTCCTAGTTTATGCTATTATATATTGTTAGTTTCCTTTACAGTGAACCAGTCAATATCATTTTTCCTTAAAAGATAACCTGTTCATTTGGGAGAGGGAATTCAATCTTTAGTTAGCATTGTATGATGAAGCGTTTTATACTCAGCGATAACTAAATGTCCAATTATTATCATATATTTTCTTCAAATAGGACCAAGTCGTGGACCAGAGAATGTTTCTTCTAGTCAAGTAAACGATACGACAAAAAAAATCACTTGGGTTACACTACCTAAAGAAGTGGCAAACGGCTTAATTGAACTTTACGAAGTCCGTTTTGAGTTGAAGGAGAGCTGTTTAAAGGTTGACTCTACGTTTCATACAATGAATACAACCAAATCAAGGGTGTTACTGACTGTCTTTTGGATGTGTGCAAAGTATGAAGTGTCCGTTAGAGGTTACACTGTGGCAGGGCCTGGACCCTATAGCAAAGCTGTAGTTGTTCAAACAAAAAGTAAGTTGGGAAGGTGAAACTGATGGTAAAATATCATCGGTTTTATACAGTTTTAATCGGTATCATTACGTTATACTTTTTTCGTGTCTAGTAACGCGTGCCTAGCCTAAACCATGCCAATCACGGCAAAGTGTCTATCATTTTCGTTGCTTGCTTTCTAACGAGATAAAGAGCCAGATTAGTTAGCCCTTGAGTTTTCATATTTTATGTGGGTGTGAGTTCGGTCCTTACTTTTTCTTGCACAGGTTTGAAATTATCCAAAATGTGGTCAAAAGAAACACCCTCTTCACCAACCTTCTCTCAGACCTCAAGTGGAGAAGGCATAACAGCAAAGATAACATTACCACGCTTTCCAGGAAATGCAAAGTATGAGCCTTATAGTGAAACCTTATTTTTAAGTGAAGGCTTTGCCAATCTTTTAGGCTGCTTTTTGCTAAATAAACGAACATCTCATTTCACAGTTTCTTTCAAGTCATCGTTATCAGATACAGCTTGGACTATACTGGTATGGTAAACTCGCCTGATAGTTTTACGCCAAAGGATTTGATGACATATGAGGAAGCCCACAAATCATCTGCTCCTGCAGCGTATGTCACTTTTCAGTTTAGAGCACACGACTTTGATGCATTCCGAGAATTTGTTGTTGGAGATGGAGCAAATTCAAACAGTGAAACAAGAAAAAGGAGAAGCATTAATGAGGACGACTTTCATAATAAACCACTCCAGCCAAATACGAAATACAAAGTGTTCCTCAGAGCTTTCATCGATAAGGTATAGTGACACACGTCTGCTTCTCAGAATGCAAACTAGTATCATAAAATTCAGTGGTCTGTTTCACTAGCATGACGCTGGACCATCGCTTAGGTGCCTTCAAAATTTTCGGGCTCAATTAGACGTTGCAAAAGATGTAGCTTAGTTTATGGCTAGGGAATGCAAATGCTAACCCTTTATGCTCCGGTTCTAATCATGAAGAAAACCTATGACTTTAAGTTGGACATTCGCTCTTCTGATCGTTCCTTTGTTCGGGCATTCAGTCATTCAATCGGTCGGCCAAATCTACTTTTCGTTTAATCTTACCTACTTTGGCTTTGACTGCATTTGTGCTGAAAACAAGGAACTTACTTTGTGTACAGAAAAAAGAAAGAAGAAAAATCTTACAATTTTATGGATGGTTACTTTCCTTTTTGCTTTTTTGATTGCAGACGGTGTACATTTCTAGTAACTTTGTAACGATTGAAACCAAAGGTAATTTTCATGAAATTCTTTTGCGACTAAAACTTTAGATTTCCAATCAGTTAGAATGCTGCTCTTTCTCCCCCCGAGAAACTCCCTGTTTTTTCGCCTAGCTATGATACTGGTTAACTGAAAATTTCACTCATGCTAACTCATTGACACTCTTATCAGGCAAGCTCTATCAAAGGTAGATCCCGTGTCTTCCTTTTTGTCTCAGAAAAACTTCCCTTGTTGTGGCTTTCTATGCTACTGCTTTGTAAAAAGTGCTAACTTGGTGAACTTCTACCAGATAAGCCCAACGTCAAAGGCCTACCTGAAAGAACTATTTTTCGAGTTGGCGATGTGGTAGTATTGACATGTGAAGCTACTGGAGATCCTAAGCCTTCTGTTTCTTGGAGTAAAGATGGAAATACCAATATACCTTGGGCTCAGTTCAGGAACGATAAGCACATTCTTGTTATTCAAGAGGTCGCCCCTACTGATGGAGGCATTTACGAATGCAGAGCGTCAAACGCTTTTGGGCAACGCCGTACAGCTACAGCAGTGGTCATTGCTGGTTAGTATCATCCACTGTGGTGTGACTGGCCACAAAATGAAAACATTTCTTTATGCGAGCAGAAGCTAAAAACTGGTGGTACTAGATTTCACGAGCGAAAAATTCGAACCATTCGGGTGAAAATTGTAGCAATCAGCTCTCAGAAAGTGGTATTGGTTACGTATTACTGTCATGTTTTACATCATGCATCGGTACATACCGCTAGTATTAGATATACAAACATCGACTTGGGAACTTCACCTTTGCATGTATTAAAGATGCTGAATCTTATCTTTTTTCCTCTTAAAACTCAGTGCCGCCCAGCATCAGGGAAGATGTTTCCCCACCATCAGTTACATGCGCAAAGGACACTCCTTGTTCTTTGCTATGCCATGCAACTAGTGACATTCCATTTAACTACTCTTGGACAAGAAATGGCCAGGCTCTAGATGGCCGTAACATTAAAGTCATAAAAAACACTGTTATTGTCACTCCTCTTGATGATCAAGATTTTGGAGATTATGTGTGTCATGCCACAAACTCGTTTGGATCTACAACTTACAAAATAACTTTGTCAGAAAGCCAAGAGGAAGGAAACAGTAAGTCTTGTCCAGCAATGTTTAACGCTCTCAACGTCCAAAAACCATTTGATCCTTGACAGTTCTATCTGTTTTCTACACGCAGTATTTATGAATACACATACTGCTTCAAGTAGGTTTTGGCACCAAACGTATACTTCGATATGATAGTTTTTTTTTCAGACATTTTGGTGTATTGCCAGAGGAAACAGGGCGAAAATCAAAGCACCTAGGTTTGAAAAAAATAGAAGAAAAGAAAAAAAAAATGATAAATTAAACAAGAAAGAAGTATATTTCTAAATATATATATAAAGAGGACGTATTTCGAAATAAATATTCAAAAAGCCAGCAAACAAACAAACAAAATAAACAAACAAGACATTGGCCCATCAAATTAAAGTAAATTCAGATTATAACATGAATCAAATAACACCAACTTCTTTGCCCCTTAGCGCTTTAGAATTGCCTCTTTTACCCAACTTGGATATCGTTTTGATTTATTTAGGAAAAGAAACGTTTCTTTTTTTATCTAGTTTTCTTTTCTTTCTTGTCTTTTTTTCTTACTGTTTGAAGAGACTGTAATTTCGATAGATTTGTTTCTAAACAGTGCACCTCTTTTTATCTGAATATTTTTCACTACTTTTTGGACAGATGTACGAAGCATCTTTCGGGCTGGTGACATTGCATGGTCATGCGTCGTTTTCATGTTGCTAGTTTTGATTGGTGTATTGATATGGTGGCTTAGAAGAGCTCAGGCAAACAGCAGAAGAGCGACAGCTGAGAAAGCCATTGTTTTAGATACTGTCCAGTCTGTCGTACCACTTGAGAAGCATGTGTCAGAGCCAGGTTCATACATGGAACTACGCCCCAGGCCTTCGGATGGACAAACACGAGTACCCCCTGAATATCAGTCCTTACGAGGGGGCCACGCGAACGCTGGGTATTACAACGTTGATCCCAAAACAGAGAACAAAAAGGGACCAAATGAAGAAATATATGAGGAAATAGAGCTTTCTGATCGTTAATTTCTAGTTTTTAAGTGGTGGACTGTTAGTAGTAGTAGTAGTAGTAGTAGTAGTAGTAGTAGTAGTAGTAGAATCTTTATTTATACACGATAAGAATTAAAGCTAAAAAGCTCGTGGGGTCGTGTACTTAACAAAATAGTATCTAGCCAACTTATGATTAAACTTAGACACATTTCAAACTAAATAAGAAACTACAATACAATAAAACATTCAATTTCCTCTCAACTTAAAAGTACTTGTAATCAGTTAATCTATTCCTAGCCGTCGAACCTGATAAACTAGTAAAAGTACAGCTTGTGAATTGATTGTTTCTCCTGAGTAGCCTCCTGAGATTCTTAAGGGCGAAACTACCCACATTTTTGACATGATGGTTAACATAGTTCCATAGCACCGAACTTCTATATGCTAAAGAGTCCTTTAACAATCTAGTGTTGAATTTAGGTGGGCTATTGCTTCTTGGTCTCTTAGTGAATAGCTACATTCCCGCCTTATGAATATGCTATTAATTAGAAATTTGTATTCTAAATTGATCGTATCCCATCCTGAAACGTCGAGAGCTACATTAGATTCCGTATCTGTGGATAAGTTGTAGACAGTTTTTGCTGCTCTACAGTGAAGTTTCTCAATTGAGTACAGAAGGTCTGAATTTGTACACGAACCCCATAATATAATATAATACTTCACAGAAGGTAATATTACACGAAAATAAAATTTTAAAAGGACATTTTTGGGAAAGAACCTTGAGCGCTTCAATAAGTCTATTTTGTTCGCAAAGTTTTTCTTTAGTTCTAGCATATGCGGTATCCAGGTAAGCTTGTCATCTACAATCTTTCCAAGAAGAAGCGATTTTTTGACATAGCCTAAAACAGATTTACCCAAAAATATTGGAGGTAGCGGTCCTATAATGGTTGGTGTACTAATTAACATGACTTCGCTCTTAGCCGGGTGAGGTGTTAAGCGATTCTCTAGGCACCACCTGTAGACCTCTTGCAAAGCACAGTTCAAGGAAGCAATCGCTGCGTCTGCAGACTTTCCGATGCTGAAAATTGACGTATCGTCCGCATACATGAACAGGGATCCCGTGGTAATGGCGGCGGGCACGTCATTAGTGAACAAAGTGAACAAAATAGGGCCTAAAACAGATCCCTGTGGTATACCATTTGTTACTGGTAACATGTCAGATTTGACTCCATTAATCACAGTGTACTGCATTCTTCCCCTCAAGTAGTCCCTAATCCAATCTAGCAACACTCCCGTGATACCGAAATTATATTTCAGCTTCTTCAGCAAGATTTCGTGTGATACGCTGTCGAACGCTTTTCTGAAGTCCACAAAGGCTACTGCGACAACATTACCAGAGTCTAACGCTCTCCTCCATATTTCTGTCAGATGTACTAGGAATTAAGAGCTCAGTCGAGTAGCCGCTTCGGTAGGCCCATTGCTTCTTTGTGATTAAATGATTGTCGACAGAAACGTGCTGCACCACTTTATCTTTTATTTCTGCTTCCAGGATCTTGCTTGGTACGCTTAAAAGGGAGACAGGTCGATAATTTCCGCAGTCTGTTTCATCATCCTTTTTGAAAAGCGGAGTTAATCGGGCAGTCTTCCATAGGGAAAATTCTTTGTTCAATGCTGTAATTATAAAGGTTGACCAATGCTGGTACAATAGCCTTTCCTGCCAATTTAAGAAGTTTAGGCGAGATGTCATCAGGTCCAACTGCCTTATTCGTTTTAAGTTTATTTACCTTTTTTTCAACAGAATGGTTTGTAATCGAAATAGGGCTTTTAGGTGACAATATATAAGGTGACGTGCTGGCATCCACTTAAGCGGGCTGCGGTGGCATTGGCAGTGATTTAATTAAGTTCTCGCCGTTCTCCGAGAAGTATGCATTCATCATTTGTGCTTTTTCCTTATCCATTAAAGCAAAACTGCCGTCGGTTCTCTTAAGGGGGCCTATTGTTCTGTTGCGTGCTGAGCGATTTGTAGCTCTGTTAATTAAGTTCCAGTAGGCACTAGATTTCTTTACTTCTTTGAACATATTGGTGAAATAGGATGCCTTAGCTCTTCGCAAAGCTGATGTGACTGCATTTCTAGCTTTCTTGTATTTTGACCACAATTCAGGGCATTTTGTGCTGACTACTGCTTTGAAGGTCTTGTATCTTTTATTCATGATCTTGTACCGGATTTCGTTAGTTATCGAAGGAGCCGATTTACTTCTGATCTTAACTTCTTTCTGGGCGACATGTTCGTCACAAATTCCTTTAAACAAGGTTTGCCATGCCCATAAGATATCATCTGGCTCCTCGAAGACTAACGCTATATGGAAAGGCACGGATTCAACGTCCGCCTGAAATTTTTTAATGTCGAGTTTCCTATAATCTCTTGTTTTGATGTACTTCGGTGGTGGCCTTTTATTCTTTAACTTCATCGTTGCGTATACCATATTGTGGTCTGAAATTCCCAAAGGGAAAACACCACACTTGCCCATAAGATCTGTCCTTGTTGTAACAATTAGATCCAGGTACTTTTTGTTGGTGTTTCTCTAGTGTTTGCATTTACCACATTTTGCATATTAAATGTTTGGAAAATGGAGCGTAGTTTTCTGGCGTTAGCGCACTGCTCAGATTCCGTCTTAAAGTCACAGTTGAAGTCCCTTAGTAGCACAATGTTAGACGTTTTCAGCCAAGCACTGACAAGATCAAAGATCAAAGATCAAAGAATTCACAAGCGTCTGGCGGTCTGTAGATTACTGAAAACAACACTGAAGAACTTGGGAATTTGACTTGCAGCCACTCTGCTTCAATGTTTTGTGTGAGAAGATCTTTACGATGAGTAGCATGCAATTGCTCCCCATAATATAATAAGCATGCTCCTCCTTTTCGACCCTTCCTATCTAATCTTACGAACTTCATTGCGGGGTTTAATATTTTGGAATCTGACACCTTTTTGTCAAGATGTGTCTCGGTGATTGCGAGAATTTCAAATTTACACAGTTGTTGGAGGCATCTGAGTTCCTCGATCTTGTTCCTTAGACCACACACATTCACACACACATCCACACACATCCACACTCGCAAGGAAATAATGATAACAACAATGCTGTAGCTTACTCGCTAAAACACTTCTAATACGAAGGTATTCAGGTGCTGTTATAAAATATGAAAGTGCATTGTCTATATCGTGGATGAGCGCAGAATACACTGAATCCGTATGAAAAAATTTTTTTTTTTGTTGACCCTTGACCAAGATCTCAACAGCAGGATATGCACGCTATCAAATGTGAAGGAAATGTAACTGTCAGATGTAACACTTGGCTGTTACCATCTTCAAAGCCATGATATCACGCATTAGGAACAAAGAGACACCATATATATCCTATTTGCTTTTTGTAAGAGGGGAAGGGCGAGCCTTCGCGTTCAGTGAAATTTTGTCTTCGGTAAGGTTAGCAAACAAATTAAGTACAAAGTAGGATCAGTTGCTCGTCAACTAACAATATGGCGACTTTGCTTAATTGTAAACTTTTTCAAAAGCCATTGTAGTCATCAATATTCTCAAAGATGTTCATGTTGCCCCTACATTTTAACTCCATTGTAAAAAGGCTTAACATGGGGCAGAATGGTTGGACATCATGAATTATTCGTAAACCAAATTTGAAGGCGACCTCGCTTAGAAGAGCCCTTAATTAGAGAAGAATGGGCCAAAATTGGCCAACTAGGATAAGTATGAATGCCAAGAAGTTTTTTCCTTGAAATATCGGTTAATTCCTGAGAAAAACGATGGAAGCCGTTTTCAACTTAGGCACCGTTTGTCGATCCCAAACACTTACAAACAGGAGGGAAATTAGTCATGATTCACTTGACTCGCTTGTTAAAACTGCTTCGCTAGAAAAAGCCGTCATAGTTCCAATTTGTTGTACAACCAGACATGGCCTAAACGCCACCCTTTCATAAGCATTGGATTTCTCTGAGTATTCAAGAGAAGTAAATAAGTTATGGCTCTCCCGCGCTTCGTAAAACGGTAGGCGAAAAATAACGATAATTTTGAGCCTATGCCTTTGTTTAGAATTTCGTAAGATTAAGAATGAAAATACCTGAGTTAAGGATCTTTCAAACTATGTAAAGTTTACTTTGGGGAAATGAATGTAGGGTTTTTTAAGAATATTTTGAAAATCGTCAACGAAATATCCAAAATCACGCCATGTTGTGTATGCGTGCCATTAACAAAAACAATATCGTTTTTGATTTAGAAATCATGGCAACTCAAAAAGCGTAAACAACAATGCAAATATACTGACCCCAACTTGCATATGATATTCTTGAATTTTCAAAGTGCTTCATTTTACCGTTTGGTTAATTCCATTTGTGAGGTTTATCATGAACAGAGAAGCCCGCCGCTGCAGCTACAATAAAAACCGGCTTAGTTTTCAACGAATTCTTCGTAGCTCACTTGTCACAATTGTACTCTTTATACTGTTAATACAAATCTTTCTGAAAATTCTGAAGGAAACCATTAAAAGGCTGATAGTAAAGCCAGCTAGTTCAAGCTTGTGTTACCATGCAGTTTACCGTAAACCGTTGTGAGAATATATGCAAATTACGTCTCAAGTGCAAAGCAACATAAAATTTGCATATCAGGCTGAGCAAGAGTTCGTGACAGTAATTGGTACATAGGGTGGATAATGTATTCTCAGTGGCCAAGATTGGTTCTTTTTGCCATATTTCTCTTTTCTTTTGTTTTTGACGATCGTTGGTCTGAAGTTTTCAATCAAATCAGTTCAAAATAGGAAAGAGGTCTCGATGGTTTTCAATTGACTGAACTACCCTAATTAGCGCGACAATATAATATGATAAATTTGCGAACAAGAACTATACTCCCAAAAGAGCAAAAACCTCCATCATTTCCCCAAGAGCAGGAAAACACAAAGTATAGTCTTTCTTAAATTTTGAATTTTTATTTAGTGCACGTGAGAAATAAATACAAAAGGTAAAGGGACTTAGAAAAACCTCCGTATTAATATCAACGGTACAGGACCTTATAATTATAAAACTGTTTCTAAAACGATCTGTATTGCATTTGGGTACGATGAAGCGCCCATTGCTCCTTAGGGCATAGCGTGACGGACTGCTAAGTTGAATTAACTTATTTAGACGGTGTTCAGGGTCCTTTATTATGGTGTCGAAAGTATTATCACATAGCCCCATGATGAAATCTAGAATGTCTTCGTATTTGAAGTGTACGTTCAATCATAATGAGTTTGGTATTATCATATTTTTAGAAGGAGCAACGCAAGGATTACCTTTCCGTTTCTGATTTTGTGAGTTAAAAAATTTGCCATATTGGAATTTTGCATTAGTCTCAATGAGCATGTTATTACCATGGTTTTGATACGAGAAAAATGCGGGTTATATTTCCTAGTTCAATTTGTCTACGTCAAAGGTGTTTTATCCTCTTAAAAAGTTAAATAAGAAAGTTAAACTTGGCCATGGCTAGCGTTGCCGCATTAGATTTAATTGGTTGTGGGAAAATAAACAGAGAAGTAGGGGCTGTTTTGAAGGGTCTAAGTCTGAGAAGGAAACTTGTCATTTTTATCAGTGCGTCATTGTGAATCGATGCCAGTTCCCTGCGGTTTTGAACAACATGCCGTAGACGAAATCACTACTCTAAAGACTTATAATCGGACCTAGCTTTGCTTCTTTTTCGCTCTAGAATAGCAGAATAAAGTTCACCTACTGTGAAGTTTGCGTTAAACGTCGAGGATTTGAAGGAAGGGCCTTAGATTCTAGTTCCTTCGGAATTATATTGGTAAACAAAGAAATTGATAGTTCAACTTTAAATTGTGTATACTTCTCTTAGAAATTACTATGCGGAAATGGTTAACGTTTTCCACCGACCTATATATTTGGAAACCTCACAGTTTCCATTTTATACAGAATTTGAAGGGTCAGGAAACTTTCATTTCATTCATCAAAACGAATGGTTTTAGATAGCTCTTGTCTGGGAAATAATCAACACCACGAACGCCGAACTCGACGGAAATGCGTGACCCATTAGTCAATAATTATTTAAGACACGTAATTGATACCTGACAAGGATCATCGTGTTACACACTACCGTCGGCAAAGGGAGGTTCGTTCTAGCGATTAGTCGCTTCTTTATGCTGAAGACGGCGGTATTTATTCACTTTAAAGCAGCCCAATCGATGTGAGAGAACGCAAAAGACATCCTGTGTAATGGAGGCAGGTTGGCCTACAATCTTTCTGTGTGCTCTTTTCATGTTTTCTGTCGAAGGTAAGGTTTATAGGCATCTCATTGTTAGAAGCCATTGTATGCTCATATACAGAAACAAAACTAAAGCTATGATATTAGCGGATAGATATTAGAATATAAGATAAGAATTAGCGATTTTCACACAAAATTTGTTGTGTTTCTGAAAAGGAAAGTTAGATGAAGCCTGGGTACGTATCTGAGAATGTGTAAGTTCAATATGGTCGTCAACGAACTTGTCGGAATATTGAAGTCAATATTTCATATATTCAACGACTACATGGAAAGTAAGGCACCCCGCTGTTTCCGATCGTGTATCGTGCTTTCGTGATGTGAGGCTTGACAGAGAAAGCGGTGACTAGCACGAGAACAGTATGGAATGCGAGATGAAAATAAACAACCCGGCAAGAAATAACTTTAGAAGTGCCTAATGTAGTGTATAGAAAGCCTTGAAATTCAACGTAAAAGTGAAAGGGATTTCCACGGGATAAATCAGTGTTAGTGAGAGTTCATTCAAATATCGAAACTAGAAAGCCAGCTATTTTTTCCTTTTCGTCTCGTACTGATGTCGTGCTATACGAGCCTCATTCGAGACTTCCGTGTTCGCTCGTTTTAGTGACCTCGATTGAAGCATTTGTTTATTGTGTGTTTCAAAAGACGATGATGCTATCGGTGACGAGCAGCTGGTTTAATTCGTGTCATTTTCGTTTCGTAAAATTTATTTTCTTTGCTGTTGAGTCAATTATGTTTTCATTGGCGGTTCATTTTTGCCGATCATGACCGTGACTGCGTTCGTGACGAAGGAAGTAGATGCAAGAGTAATTACAAACAACGTTCAGAAAAAGGTTAAGTGCTTGTCTTATGTATATATGCACGATCCTTCGCAGTAAAGCACTATTTGAGCAATAGTGAAAATCAGACCTGAAAAAAATTTTCAGGCCTGTACGGGATTCGAACCAATGACCTCTGCGATACTAGTGCAGCGCTCTACCAATTGAGCTAACAAGCCAACTGGGAGCAGACCATATGTTTCATATGTTTGTTGTTGTTTGATTTATCATCTACGGGTTTATGTCGAATTAATTTGATGGTCTGCTCCCAGTTGGCTTGTTAGCTCAATTGGTAGAGCGCTGCACTAGTATCGCAGAGGTCAGTGGTTCGAATCCCGTACAGGCCTGAAAATTTTTTTCAGGTCTGATTTTCACTATTGCTCAAATAGTGCTTTACTGCGAAGGATCGTGCATATATACGTTTCATAACCGCAGTTCATACATATGTTTCATATGTTTGTTGTTGCTTGTCTTATGTTGCATAATTTTCACGAAATGAGCTTCAACGCTCCCAAAATGAAGGGAAATAAGTGTTAGAAAGCGTTATCATAAAGCGAAAAGCGTTCATATTTGGGAATAACGCCTACATATAATATTACTCATCAAAATCATGCAAAATGCTACACATACTTTATAGTTCCTTCTTAGAAACAGGGAAGCCATTTTTATCTTGTTTATGTTTCTTCCAAAATAATTTTTTTTTGATTAATAATACGTCTACTTCGAAGTTGCCGTGTATCTATTTTAGTAATATTACTTATCAAAAACTGATATTCCTTATCAAAAGTCCTACAAACTGCTAAGCATGCTTAATAGTTACTTCTTAGAAGCAAGGCAGCCTTTTTTATGCTGGTAGGTTTTAGCGATAGAGTATTGCGATGGAGTATTGCGTTGGAGTATTGAAAAAAGGTTTGCGACAAAAATAGAGCTTTAAGTAGTGTTGTGTAATATTTTCTACCTCTCGTGTACCACTCTTTTCAAGGTGCTCGTAGTATCTTAGTTATTTCATAAACTACAACAGAAGTGTGAAAACGATACTAGCTGCGGATACTGAAACGTAATTTTAAAGATAGTCAAGTCGAAATATTCCAGCAAAATACTATAACTGGTCAATATTTTCGTAATATTTGAACGTCTTTGTTATGATTTGAAGCTCTTCTTGGAGATCCCAAGAATGTAGTTATACGCTAGTAGTTTAAAGTTAAACTTGAAGTTATATCACAAAGTAAAAAACTTGGGAGCGCAGCTAGAAAATTTTTTTGTTTACATCATCAGGTGCGAGCTTTACTAAACAACCTCAAAATTCACTCCTTACTGTGGAAGGTGACAATGTTACACTGGAATGGAGGTACACCTTAGACGAAGGTGAATCACTTCGTATGGTGTTATTTGAAAATGATACAGAGGAGATTGTGGAAAAAATTCCTTCCGATAACTTACCTTGGATAGACTCCTCGTACCAAGGTCGCTTATACGCGAGCGTAACAAATGAACGCGCATCATTTGTTTTCCTCGGAGTAAAGAGATCGGACGCGGGAGGCTACACGCTAAAAGTAAACACTAGGAAAAGCAGACTTAGAGGAGAAGTGGAGATTTCAGTACTATGTAAGTACAAAGAGCCTGTGAAAACAATGTAACACAAAACCAACGAGAATTTATTTAAGTAGTCTTCAACTTTGTCATTGGACATTTAAATCTTACTTATCAATTTGAAAATGAGCATATTCCTTTCGCTAGCTTACTCGGGTAGAAGGCGAGCCGTTTAGTGAGGTTATATACCCTCTTTTATCATAGAGAACAAGTTCTCGGCTTACGTTCAGCCCTACCTTGTAAGATTTCCTTATTAAAATTAAAGAGATTGAAAACTTTTTGCAGCCAAAACTAACGATTTGAACCAGTGAGTGTCAAGAATCATTAATTTGTATTTTCTAGACCAAAGTAGACTAAGAATGATTAGGTTTTCATCGGTGGTGCCCACAACACGAAAAATAAACTGGAGCAAATATTCCAGCACACCTACTGTACGAAGGTAATTGTGTTGTTTACCCTTTACATAACACCTTAATTAACCTAACGGATTTTTTTCTGTTACAGACATTCCAGAGATCACTGCTCACCCGCAGAATGTAACTGAAAAAGAAGGAGACAATGCTACCTTCAATTGTAACGCTATGGGAAATCCTGTACCACAAATATCATGGAATAAGGGAGGATCACCTCTTGGTAACACCTCCAGTATTAGTTTGTCAGCGGATAACAAGGACCTAACTATAAAGAATGTGAACAGAGTAGACAGCGGTGAATACCGATGTGTGGCCACCAACAGCCTTGGAAATGATACCTCCAATCCTGCTTACCTAGGAGTGCAATGTAAGTGGAGTATTTAAGAGCGAATGTCTGAATTGACCGAGTGAAAATCGAAAAATGTGGCACATGATCGAAAAATTGAAAACCTTCATATTTCGCCCAGAGATTCCTTATAGTGAACTTAGAAACGTGGTAAGGTTTTTTTCTTTGCCGAAAACGTTGAAGACGGGAAGCAATCTGTGTGTAGATGTGACACACGCAAGCATTTGTCACGCAAGGCTGAAAATATTTCAATCTTATTCCCATCTTGTAATTTTACGGCAACGAATATCCATGAATAGCGTTTTTTTAACAAACTAGTTTGTATGATAATTTTTCTTAACAGTTAGTCATTGCTGTTAAACTTGTCAACTTTGCAGTGGGGATCTCATCCAGAGTTGAATGTAATAGTGACATTACCAAGAAGGGCCAATAAGCAGAACACCAAACAACAAATAGCTATAGAAAAAGGTTAGGGAAAGGATCAAAAGTCAGAGTAAAGGCAAAACAGAGGCAAAGTACAAAATTATTGAAATAGGAGAAGAATACCAAGTATGGAGCTGGAAACAGAATGAAATATATAGGGTGAACTAGACCTGGGGATAAATGTATAATCAAACAACGTGCCATTTGAAATTACCACTACAAACAAAGAATCTTAGATGAGTTAAGAACGTTCTTCCCAAATTGAGAGTTTTAGTTACGAAACTCACGGAAATTTGTTGGGCTGGAAACTGTATGTTCGCAAATCAAAACAACGAAGTCGAGAAACAGATAATTCTCTTGATACTTCAGTTAATACTATTTCAGCTAATGTCGTGCGGTAAAGTGATTTCTGAAAACCTAAAGACTGTCAGAATTACCGATATTGAGGCCAAAATAGATTTAATTTTAAGTCGAGCGCCAATTCTTAACACACCTTCCACCAATTAGACTAGATCACCTGTTCCGGGCATCACTGTTTTTATGGGCGTTGGATGAAGGAGAGGGTCACAAAAATGCCGTGCATTCTAGAAGTGTTATTCAGCCCTGCTAAAGGAAAATGCGCAGGCCTTATCGCAGAATTAATTATGCATTTTTGAGAACAATTCTTTAGCTAACCCTTTTTTCAGGTCTTCGTTGTTAAAAATTATCATTTCGAGAAAGATTTCCAAAATTTCGTAAAGCGCCGGTCTAGTAAAACTGCCAAAATGGCGCGGCACGTTGTGCCGGATTTTTTCTTTTTTTAATTTGTGGTTTGCTTAACAGATATTTAATGTGTCAGCCTTCTTAAGTACAGAGGCTGTACAGAGGAAGACAAAAATAAGCAGTTGCCGCAAAGAATAATTTCTTACTAACCAAGTGCAAGGGCCGTCCGTACTGAGAATTGTTGGCCCAAAATCGTGGTAGTACGGAGCGAGCGCAGCGAGGTCCGTGGAAAAACTACCGTGGGCCAATATTCCCCAATACAGCTCAAGCAAACGACGTTACGAAGTATTGTATTATGGCGTTCGGAAAAACTTCTTTAATTTTAATTTTTCGGCTTTCGCGAACAAAAATATACGGCTTATGACCGCTTCCTTGGAAATGGTACGTATGGCAAGGTTCAGACCAAGTAAGAACTAATCAGAACGCTTGGATTTACCCCAAGACTGTCCAGCCAAATAGTAAATGGTTATAACCTTCAAGCTCGAGGTATTTTCGTCAATAGTTTATTTCCTCACTGAGTTTTTTTGTTTGAAAGTACATGTCCTTGCAACTTTTTACCTCGTGCTTGCGTTTTTCTACTAGAAATTAATTGTGGAGAAAGAGTAACACCTGATCAAAAGTGTTTTTTTTTTTTATTAGGTGTGGTCGTTAACTCAATCGAATTAGCTTAGCGTACTAATTGACATTCCTTTTTTAGATTTTGACGTTCAAAAGGTGTTTAATCGGTGTCAGTGACGTTATACACCGATTAATCGCAGCTTCAACATCCGGGGCAACCCACAGGCTTTTGATTGTCATCTTTTGAGCCTTACCTGGGTGGGGTAGGGAATTTGAACCGAAAGTGGCAAGTCTTTTCAGAGGAGTATTGGTGGTTTATCTTTCAATAAGGAGGTACTTAAAGCGTATAGCTCAGAATATAGGGTCTATAACGTAGGTTTTGGAGCTTGAGTAGTCAAATCAATCACTGATCGTGCCTTTTACAAAATATGTGACAATGAAATAAGGATTTCTATGAAAAGATGGCTTTCAAGGCTAACTGTTACATTTTTGGCCATTTCACACGGCGAATGCTAAATTTTTTACGGTCACATCATTTTTAGGACTCACGGTTAAAATTTGTCAGTTTCTCAGTACGCCTAACGGCTAACTTTTGCCGTTTTACGGCTGACAGTTAACCCCATAGAGAACCACTAAGATCTAGCACTTGGGCAGGGAATTTTAACGAGATTTTGGCCCAGGAGGGCTGGAACAAATCTTCAAAAGTTAAAATTCCTGAGGGGAGGCGATGTTGAAGCTTTGAATTGATGGATGCATCATTTTTTCTTCTAGCGTACATAATACTTTCAGTATCCCCCCATCTAACGATGTCACCTGTTTGATAATCGCTGAGAAAAACCGTGCCACAGTGTCTTCTTCTACTTGCAACTAAATCTAATGATTTTCCGCTAAAAATAGTTACCATAGCGGTTTTCAACGGGGTGGGGGTGAGTCCTCCTACAGTTGTATCTCTATTTTTCAATGAAACACTCTTCCGAGGTAACATATTCAATATTATCTAATGAACAAGTTTTTTAAAAGTGCCATTCTCGTGGCCAAAAAACCGCGAGATGGGAACAATGAGATGTGTTTTTGTAATTGAAAATATTTCGACCTTGCGTGACAAATGCATTGAGTATTTTGAAATCATAGTAGTATCAAATATATAATTGCTTCCCGTCTTCAACATCTTCAGCAAAGAACATTTGACCTGCCGTTACAGATAATTGAATTGTCCTCTTTCAAGTCCACAATGAAGCTCAAGTTTACCGTGGAACTTTCTTAAAACTTATAGGTGTTCGAATACGCAAAGAAAAAAGACGCCCCCCGCTAGCTTACGGAATGTGTTATTGTAAACAATTCCGCCATGGGAAATGGATGAGAATTTGAAACGAGAGCAGAGATAAAAACCAATCTGCCGTGGTTAGCTATGCAAGGCTAGCTTACTGTGATGATTTCCTGATCGAATTCGGTGGTTACTTCTAAATGTGCTTGGAATTCCGGATTTAACTACGGGGTACCTAATTAGATTATGTCGTGGCGTAAATTACGATGTTGCGACTTTCACAAAGTTCAGCCTGGTTTTTCCGCGCGGAAGTGAAAAGCCCCAAACTAGTTTTTATATCATCGAAAAGAACACTATTTCCACTTGAAATATCACGAGCTCAACCTCAACCGATTCTGAGTTCTACCGTATGGGGAAAATGATAATTGAAAATTTGCGACGAAATGCGACATTTGGATTTTGAAATATTGGTGATTTTTAAAAGCATTCCGTGAGCTCAAATTTAAGTGAAATGGTCCCGTTTTAAACTTAAGCCATGCCTCAATCTCTCCTATACAAATTTGTCAAATTGATACGAGTTTGCTTTCTTTTGCGCTTTTCATGAGCAAAGTTCATTTGCCTCTACTCGGGGTACTGATTCCCGCCATTTTACGGGTACCGACGCTCCATTCAGTTTTCGTGAACTTTCTAGGATAAAGAAGTAAGTCTGGAAAAAAAGAAAAAAAAAACATACCACGTTTCTAGGTTCTTTATAAAGCATCTCTGACTGAAATATGAGGATAGTCATTTTTCGGTCAATGTGCCACCTTTACGCGGTCTTGAAAAAAAAACGCTCATAAATCGCTTTGTCATAGCTACATTGCTTTTAAAATTAGATATTACTTCAGATTTTGATGACGTCTAAATGGGTATGTTCAGTTGTCGTGGGAAATACGTCGGAGAGCTTTTGATGCTAAATGCGAAATTCATGTGAAAACTTTTTTGGTCACTTTTGTTTTGTTATGCATTCCTCATTAGTTATTTCGACATGTGGTATATACTAAAATAACTATTCACCTCTGTGTCGTTGAAAATGATTCGGCAAATATCTACCGCTAACCCTAAGCAACATCAATCTAAGAATCCCACTCTCCACCTTTCCCTATTTTGATCATTCTTTGACTTCTAAGGGACAAAATAGAGACACTTCTTTTTCGAAGCACCTGAAAATACTACTTTCTTTTAATTTAAAAGTATCTGCTGCTTATTTTGCTTCGCTTATATGGACGACTGTAGATAAACCCGAGATACGCACTGTTCCACGATTGATTCAAAGAACCGAAGGAGACGAAGTAACTTTACTTTGCAACGCCATCGGAAATCCAGCACCTACAGTATCATGGACCAAAAATGGGTTTCCTCTCGACAACAGTAACAGTTCTAGAATGAATTTTTCTAAAAAAGGAAAGCAGCTCACTATCAAGAATGTGAGCAAAATAGATGGTGGAGTGTACCTATGTGCTGCAGAAAACAGTCTTGGAAATGCTACGTCTCACGATACTACCCTAGAAGTGCATTGTGAGTAATATGTATTTTTGATAAATGAAACCTGCATTTTGTTGTGAAGCTGAGATGGTTCATTCTAGTTTAGACACAAAAGTTTTGATGGCTTTCAAATCTTTACGAACAATAGGTTATTTGGTCATTTGATCACCAATCAGAGTCTTGTTATCTCAAATGTCTAAAGGTCAATCAATAATGTCGAGATGAAAAAAAAAAGTTATGTTTTTCCGCCACCTGACACAGGTTTGTAAATTGCAGGATAAGTTGCTTTTCAAGGCTTTTGTTTGGGGATTTCAGATTTACTTGCACGCTGAAAGATTCAATTTATGTTCAACGCCAAAACTGGAAAGAACTGAATTGGTGAACCTGTGGAACTGGTAGTCGAAACCATGAACTGTTTGTTAAAAATGCAACTATTCCTTCGTAATCAAATGTAGATCCACCTGAAGTGACAATGATTGGTGGTCCACAACAGTTTGCAGTTGTCGGTAAAACAAAGAAACTCGTCTGCAAGTACAATGCTGTACCACCAGTGTCTGAAGCGCAATGGATAAAAGATGGAATTGTGATTTCTAGAAACGCTAGTCTGCTAATCCGTAACGAGTCCCGCCTTACTGTTCCATATTATAATGAAAGTCAATTACAGTTGCTTATAAATCAAAGTACCTCTCAAGATGCTGGAAACTACACCTGCCTAGTTATCAATGCTGTTGGCAACTCATCCCTGAAGACGTCAGTTATAAGCCAAGGTACTGTATGCTACAAAGCACTTTAGAACTGGTATTGTCTTTTTTTACCGTAGGCGCTTCAGTGAGGCTCCAGATGGCTACTTAATTCCATTACCTTCTAGACAAGTTGTTTACTGGAGAGGGCTTGTGATTTAGTTTTGGAGGACAAAAAGAGCACAAACGTCAGAAAAAGAATCACCATTTGAACCCAGCGTTTGTTTTAAGAAAGTATATTAAATATCAAATTACACAGCTTCTCCTGCTGCTTTTTCACACAGAATTGCCATCAATTACTATTTATCCAAGAAGGGAAACTGTTCTAGAAGGAAAAAAGGTAACTCTGTCTTGTAACGCCACCGGAAATCCAGGACCGTCAATATCTTGGGTCAAAGATGGATTTTCAGTAAACAACAATTCACGGATCAGCTTCTCACCAGACAATGAGCGGTTGACTATAACGAATGTAAGCAGAACAGATAGCGGTGAATACCGATGTGTGGCGAAGAACAGAGTTGGAAATGACACCGCAAATTCCAAAGTGGGTGTTCTTTGTAAGTGTCTTAAATTCTTCCATTTTCACGTGTTACTTGTTACTATTTCCAGTCTCTATCCGTTGACATTCTTAGATCATTAGATTTACATTCTTGGGACCAACCCTGGTGTGTAGATTTACCTTTGGATGCACGCTCTCTATACCGAATTGGGTAGTGTATCTGTAGTCTTTTCTCAAAGATTTATTTCATTAAAAACTATATCGGACTTATTTCGTTTCGTTCTTTACCTTGTCCAATACTTGTTCAGTTGTAAAAATCACTGGCTGTCTACTCCTCGTAGTTTGTCATTTAACACTGAGTCTCGGCAAAGACGTAGATGTATTTGGACATCATCACAAAGCAACGATTAGATGCTGTTCGAAATTTTTATTAACTCTAACGCCAACCCTATTTACCTTTTAGTTGAACCCGAAGTGTCAATTGATGGCAATCAAAAGCAATATTTGGCCAAGGGCGGCAATATCCGGCTGATATGTCGGTATGAAGCGTCGCCACCAGTGTCTGAAGTGCAGTGGATAAAGGAAGGAACTGTGATTGCTAGGAATGCTTTGAAGCTGATGAATGGTTCCAGAGTGACAATTCCATCCTTTAATGAAAGTCAAATACAGTTATCAATCACTGCAGCTTCTTTAAGGGATGGGGGAAATTACACCTGTAACGCCACGAATATTTTAAGCAGCACACAGGACACGATGATGATCATAATTGAAGGTACACGATAAAACTGGGCCTTTCCTTAAGTAACGAATTTGAAACACTCATTGGATACATTTTTACCCTTGGAGTTGAAGAAGACGTCTCGTTTCATCCAATCACTCGTCTACAACAATATCATCCTTGAAAACTACTCAACAATTACTATAATTTAATGAATTTGAATATAAGAAAATCATATATGTGTACTGCGGTTGCATGAAATGTATGAAAGCGATCATTGCAGTAATAAACCCTACTTATGTAGTAGTGGAAATAAGGCCTGTAAAAAAAAAAAAAAAATTAAAAATTCATTGAATTATCACTTCAACGGGTTTAATTCGAACCAACATAATGACCAGCTCTCAGTTGGCTCGTTAACTCAGTTGGTAGAGCACTACACCGGTATCGCAGAGGTCATAGGTTCAATTCCCGTACGGGCCTGAATTTTTTTCAGGTCTTATTTCCACTAATACATAAGTAGGATTTAGTGCGGTGAGTATATTTTTCCTTAATTATCAGCAGTAAATTAAACAAAAGAAAGGGTGAGAACTTTCAAATACACTATCACAACAAGCTAACAAGAGTTATTATTACATGTACATGTACCTAATCTTTATTTTTAAATCAACCTTGCGCAAATACCGTATTTATTTACAGATAAACCTGAGATCGCAACTCATCCTCGCAATATCACAACAGAAGAAGGTCATGGCGTGACTTTGTATTGTAATGCTACTGGAAATCCAGCCCCGACCATATCATGGACCAAGAATGGAAATCTGTTAAGTAACGGCTCTAGGATCATTTTGTCAGCAAGCCAAGAACAGTTGACGATAACGAAAGTGAACAGAATAGACAGTGGCAAATACAAATGTCGAGCGAAAAACAGAGTTGGAAGGGATACTTCTTACGCTTCCACAGTTAATGTTCAGTGTAAGTGACTTAAAATAACCATCGTACATGTATAAACACTATCAGTCCTTTCCGCATTTGGCAGTAATGTCGCAATCTGATCGGCTAAACTGCTGTTGTCTATTAGAGTACAGGTACCGCTGTTCACATCAACATGTCACGCACTGAAAGAATCTTTCTATTTGAAGTTGATGTTGTGGTAAAAAACAAATCGACTTTGGCTTAGCGTGGTTTGTACCGCTGTACTAGTAGTAGTGGAAGTAGTAGTAGTTGTAGTAGCGGCTGCAGCAGCAGCAGTATTAGTAGTAGAAGTAGTGCTAGCAGAAGTAGTTGTTGTACTCAGTGGCAGTAGTTGTTGTAGTGGTTTTAGTGGCAGTAGACTTCGTTTGACGAGTATAACTTTAAACAGCAATTAAAATATGATCTGATGACCCCAATCTATCCCCTTATTAATCCAATCATTATTCAGCACTTACGAATAAGCACAAAAAAATAAAAAAATTGAGGGAATACATCTGGACGCGTGACACCGTTACTCTGTGTATCCGTACTCTGATAAAGAATGCCGTTTTAGCCAATCAGAACGCGTGTTATATAGAAACCTCATTGTGATTGCCTTTTGAACCCTTGCAATAATTATCTAACTTGCGGTCGATTCTTTCATCTTCCTTTTGATCAAACTATGCTTCCTAAGCATGGACGAACGTCTTGCCAGAATTTGTACCTTCAGGGAACGTCTTTTTCATTGGTTCTTCGTCCTGTCACTGGTACTGTTTTATTTATCTATCCCAGGAGGTATAAGATTATTTTTCATCATTCGAAGACAGATTTTTTAACAAATGTGGAAGCGGAAATCAACCTCGTTTAATTTTATATAAGAAGTTTTAGCCTTGGCTGCACATCGATTTTATCCGTTGAAATCTCCCGAAATTTACAATGTAATCGAATTGAATTCTCTTGAGTGCGAGAGAAGGATCTTGGCAATTTGAATTTGTTGAAATTCAGTGTTTCAGTTGATTTTCTTAAGCAAAATATTTCGATATTGTAATTTGACTCGAATGTTTCGTTTTCTAGTGTTATTGTTTCGATTAAATGTGCTAATCCGCGTTAATGTAGCAAAGGCTAATTGAATTAATTGCTTTCTAGGTATAAGCTCGTCTATTTTTACCGACATATGCTCCGAAAATTACTTAAACTTTAAGCTTATTTGACGTACATGTACCTGTTAAAAACTCATTATGACCCGAAAGTATTCCGACTGTTTATAAACTATTTACCGATATACTTACTCCTGGTCTTATTCATGTTTTACGTGGAGAATTTGCCTCGATGGGAAGTGACTGGTTTCTGTATTTACGTTAGTGTTTTAAAACATTGATATTTCGTGGCTAGGTTGTTCTTAAGAAACGATATCGCAACATACATCCTAAATTTAAGGATGTTTATGCAAGTTTTTTTCTTAAGTTATACAGCCTTCTCTATAAAGAACTTCCTTTTGTAGTAGCACTTATGTTCTTTCACGGAAAGAATGAGGAAAGATCAGTCAGTTTTATATCAGCCTAAGTGGCGGCAAGGATATGCTGTTTAAGAAGCAAACCGCAAGTGGTCACACGTTATTTTTTAGCTGTGTTATATTTATGCTTTTGTGTACGATTTTTGCCAACTAAAGTATTTTTGAAATTGCAGATCAAACTAAGATCGTTTCTCATCCTCAAGCGATTGTGACAGAAGAAGAGGGAAATAATTTAACTTTATTTTGTAATGCCACTGCAAACCCACCAGCGAACATATCATGGACCAAAGATGGTTCTCTTATAAACAATAATTCCAGGATAAACTTTTCAGACGATAATAAGCGCTTGAATATACGAAATGTAAACAGAAAAGACAAGGGGAGTTACCGATGTGTGGCGAACAACAGCCTTGGAAGTGATACCTCAAACGTTTCTACTGTTGATATCCAATGTGAGTTCTCATCTTTACACCCTACTGTTAAGGACACTCTATTCTCTTTGAAATGTATTTTGAATAGTATTCTGATTCAAGGCCTCCACTTATTACAGCCCTCTACCCAATACACACTTCTTTGTTTTCGCCATGGTCAACTTTTGTCGTAACTCTTGTCTAATAATCATAGCCCCTGAATGATATCCGCTCATACACGCAGCAGCACACCTTCTATCATACAATTTTATTTTAACATAACAGGGTTGTACAGTCATTTATGCATTTCTATGCAGACTTTTTTTGTTATTTATTTACCCTTTGCTAACCAGATAGTTCTAAAAATTTCAGATAAACCTGATACTACTACTCATCCTAAAAGTAAGGGAAGGAAGAAACTTGACTTGTACTTGTAGTGCTACTGAAAATCCAGTACCATTCACACTAGCAAACATATTTGATTAAACCATATCTACCTGAGGGAAAATCAGGAACAGAGAACTAAAAATCTAAATTTTTCATAGGTTTTTAAGTCGTTACTAATGTTTATTTTTAATGTGCTTTATCTTAAGTCGACAAACATCGGTTTAAGCAGCTTCCCGGAAGCAAACAGTTTTAAATCACGTTGAAGAAAATATCTTTAAATTTTGTTTAAGCTTTGGTTTGAGTGAGGTAAAAGAAGGTTTTTTTTACTTACAGATCGACCTGTGATAGTTATTCAACCGCAGAATGTTACGGAACCAGAAGGGAAGAATGTGACATTAACTTGTAATGCTACTGGAAATCCAGAGCCAGAGCTGTCATGGTTCAGTGATGAACATCTCGTGAAAAGCGGCAACAGGATTAGTTTGTCAGCAGGCAACCAGTCACTGATTATAGCGAATATGAACAGAACAGATAGCGGAGAATATCTGTGTGTCGCCCATAATAAAGTTGGAAACGCTTCCTCGAAAGTTGCCATATTAAATGTTCAATGTAAGTGAGTACTACACTTAACAAAAGTAGAAGCTTTGACTGTGCTCTGTTCTGTTGTAAAGCACCGAGGAAGCGGTTAGAGCGCGAGAAAAGTATAGGAAGAAACACGGGACGTTATCGAGTGTTTCTCCCCATTTCTTGAGTGCTCAGACCGCTTCTCAATTCAGTTTGCCATAAGGACGGCCGATTTCATTTCTGTGGCTTGCTTCACTGCGATGACTGCAGATCACTATGATCAGCTAGTTTAGATGAGCCTCAGCATGATTGCAATCGCTCTGAAATCGTCATGATTTGTATGAATTTCAACAGTTATGCCAGTTTGGATATAACTTCAAGTTTGATTCCTGTTTTATTGTACTTAGTTTTTGAGCACGTAATTATACACTACTATACGAGTGTTAGCTGTGTTTCATTTTTGTTACGGTTTTTTTTATCGGAATAACTAACTAAGCACCATTTTTTCAGAGATACTGAGTAAATAGAGCTCTAGACTAAAATTCACATCCGTCTGTTCATTTCATTTCAGATCGACCGGAAATCATCACCGATCCCTCTGATGACTCGGTGAAAGAAGGAAAAAGCACGACATTCTATTGTAACGCGACTGGAAATCCATTACCAGAAATATCGTGGGAAAAAAATGGAAATCCTATCGGAAATAATTCCAAGATCAGTTATTCAGCAGAAAGCAAAGAGTTGAAAATAATAAATGTGAAAAGGACTGACAGAGGAACATACCGATGTGTGGCTGTCAATAGAATTGGTAATGCCACCTCACGTAATGCCACGTTAGTTGTGAAATGTAAGTATTAAAAGCATTTATAATGATATAATAATAATAATAATAATAATAATAACAATAATCTATCATTTATTCATTGAAAATCAAAAAATCAGTAAAAATACAGGATAACAAACAAAATTAAGACAAATTAAGGTATAATAATGAATAAAAATGATTTTATTATTATTTAATGAGGGAACTCAACTCGCCAAGGCGGTTTTCCGTGGTGCCCAGTGACGTATTTCATAAATTGTTCAAACTTCTTCAGTAGAAAGTCAGCTGGAAAGTCTGGAGAACTGTTTTATTGGTGTAGATTTTTTAATTGCTATACTGACTGCATATACTGGACTGTCTATTTCAAACTGTAGTTCAGCTCTATGCTAATACCCATCAACACCAGCAAAACATATTTAATGAAACCAAATCTACCCGAGTGAAAATCAGAAACAGAGAAGTAAAAAGCTAAACTATCCCATAATAAGGTTTCCAAGCCGTTATTAAATTGTTTTCAATGTGCTTGATTTTAAGGCGACAAACATCGGTATAAGTAGTTTCCCGGAAGCAAACAGTTTTATACCTGAACAAAACATCATTTAAACATCTTTAAGCTCTGGTTTGAGTGGGGTGCAATTTTTTTTTTTCGATATTGCAGATCGACCTGAGATAGTTACTGAACCGCAGAATGTAACGAAAACAGAAGGGAACAATGTGACTTTAACTTGTAATGCTACTGGAAATCCAGAGCCATAGCTGTCATGGTTCATTGATGAACATCGCGTAAAAAGCATCAACAGGATTAGTTTGTCAGCAGGCAACCAGTCGCTGATGATAGCGAATGTGAACAGAACAGATAGCGGAAAATACCTGTGTGTCGCCCATAATGAAGTTGGAAATGCTTCCTCGAAAGTTGCCATATTAAATGTACAACGTAAGTGAAGTGCTATGCTATGTATTTAGTGACTGAGTTTGGTCGGGCCGGACGGGAAAATATTTGGCTCAAGGCGGACATGACATACAGACTGAGCAGAGCGAGGTCTATGCCTTAAGACCGAGAGCAAAATATTTTCCCTTCCGGCCCGATCAAACTCAGTTCACTATTTATCGTATGACCACTAAGGGATAACAAATTTCAACCTACCTAAGACACGACAGAAGGGAAAAAGCAGCCACACAAGCCAATAAAATCAAGAATTGTAACTTTTCTTTTATTTTTTCGAGTGAGAACAAGAAAATCCCAATTCCTTAAAATAACGCCACCTTTTTTTCTCATTTGTGTTTTCTTTTATGTTTTTGCAACAAAGCGATTTGAGGGTAGCAGGCCGGATCGCTTTTTCCAGACCAGCTCACGTCAACCCGTCCGGCCCTAAACACGCCAGCTTTCACTATGGTTTTCTATGAGATTGTGCGAGCGGGGCTGGATGGGTCATATGATAAATATAGTTATTTGCTGGTTGCAGAGCTTAGGCGAAACCTTCATTAATCTTTTTGTGTCGTTTTAGTCATCGTACACAGGTCCGCTTCAAAAGCCGGACGTATTTCATTGGAAAAGTTGAATTCTTTTCAAAATAACTAACAAAGTATTTTTAATCTTCAGAGATACTGAGTAATTAGAGCGCTAGGCTAAAATTTATATCGGTCTGTTCATTTCATTTCAGATCAACCGGAAATTACCACCGATCCCTCTGATGACGTGGTAAAAGAAGGAAAAAACACGACATTATATTGTAACGCAACTGGAAATCCATTGCCAGAAATATCGTGGGAAAAAAATGGAAATCCTATCGGCAATAATTCCAGGATCAGTTCTTCAGCAGAAAGTAAAGAGTTAAAAATAATAAATGTGTACAGGACAGACAGTGGAACATACCGGTGTATGGCTGTCAATAGAATTGGTAATGCCACCTCACGTAATGCCACGTTAGTTGTGAAATGTAAGTATTAAAAACGATAGCAATCATAATTATAATAATAATAATTATAATCATGATAGTAATTGTAATATTTAATGAGAGAACTTTACTCGCCAAGGCGGTTTTCAGTGGGGCTCAGTGACATATTTCATGAATTGTTCAAACTTCCTCAGAAGAAAGTCAGCTGGAAAGTCTGGAAAACTGTTCTGTTGGTCTAGATTTTCTAATTGCTTTACCGACTGGATAGACTAGACTGTCTATTTCCACATGTAGTTCAGTCCCATGCTAATACCTATTTACACCAGCAATACATATATAATAAAATTAAATTTACCTGTGTGAAAATCAGAAACAGATAACTAAAAACATAAACTTTTCATAGGTTCCCAAGTCGTTATTAACGTCTATTTTCAATGTGCTTAATTTTAAGTTTACAAAGATCGGTATAAGCTTCACGGAAGCAAACAGTTTTAAATCACGCTGAAAAAAAGATCTCTAAGACACGTTTAAGCCTTGGTTTGAGTGAGGTACAAGAAGGTTTTTTTGAATATTACAGATCGATCTGAGATAGTTACTGAACCGCAGAATGTTACGGAAACAGAAGGGAAGACTGTGACATTAACTTGTAATGCTACTGGAAATCCAGAGCCAGAGCTGTCATGGTTCAATGATGAACATCCGGTTAAAAGCAACAACAGGATTAGTTTGTCAGCAGGCAACCAGTCGCTGATGATAGCGAATGTGAACAGAACAGATAGCGGAAAATACCTGTGTGTCGCCCACAATGAAGTTGGAAACGCTTCCTCCAAAGTTGCCGTATTAAATGTACAATGTAAGTGAAGTGCTATGCTTGTACCTAGTGACTTAGTTTGGTCGGGCCGGGCGGAAAAATATTTGGCTCAAGGCGGACATGACATACGAACTGAGCACAGCAAGGTCCATGTCTTATGACCGAGAGCCAAGTATTTTTCCATCTGGCCCGACCAAACTCAGTCAATAAGTATTTATCGTATGACCACTAAGTGTTAAAAAATTTCAACCTAAATAGGGTGCGATAGGGAGACACACGCAGCCACACAAGCTAATAAAGTCAGGAATTGTAACTTTTCCTGTATTTTTCGAGTAAGAACAAGAAACTCTAAATTCCTTGAAAAACGCGACTTTTTTTTCTCATTTGTATTTTCCTTTCAGTTTTTGCAACAAAGCGATGTGAGGGCAGCAGGGCCGGACGGCTTTTTCCGGACCGGCTCACGTTGACCCGTCCGACCCTTAACACGTCAGCCTTCACTATGGTTTTATATTGACGGGTCTTATGATAAATGTAGTTATTTGTTGGTAGTAGAGCTAAGACCAAACCCTCATTTATCTTTCTGTGTCTTTTCTATTAGTGTACACAGGTCCGCTTCAAAAGCCAGACGTATTTCATTGGAAAGTTGGATCCTTTTCAAAATAACTAACGAAGTATCCGGCATTTTTTCAGAGATACTGAGTAAATAGGCACTAGGCTAAGATTTATATCCGTCTTTTCATTTAATTTCAGATCAACCGGAAATTATTACCGATCCCTCTGATAACGTGGTGAAAGAAGGAAAAAACACGACATTATATTGTAACGCAACTGGAAATCCATTGCCAGAAATATCGTGGGAAAAAAATGGAAATCCTATCGGCAATAGTTCCAAGACCAGTCATTCAGAGTTGAAAATAATGAATGTGTACAGGACAGACAGTGGAAAATACCGATGTGTGGCTCTCAATGGAATTGGTAGTGCCATCTCACGTAATGCTACATTATTTGTAGAATGTAAGTAATAACAACAACAACAAAAATAAAAATAACATTTAATGAGGAAACCCAACTCTTCAAGGAGGTTTTCAGTGGGGCCTAGTGAAGTACTTAGTGGATTGTTTTAACTTCTCCAATAGAAAGTCAGCTATACAGTCTATAAAACTGTCCCTTTGGTGTAGATTTTCTACTTGCTCCACCGATATCCTATATTGTGAACAGTGACAACCCTCATATTTTCGCCTTTAAAAAGTGTGGGTGCTTCTTGCAAAGTAAGATTTATAAAATTTGTAGTTAATATGCTAATGTTTTTTGCTATATGGTTGCTGGTATCCCAATAGAACGTGTCTTTTTATAATTATAGACCAAAGTAAGATCACTACTCATCCTAGTAATGAAACAAAAAGAGAGGGAGAAAACGTTACGTTACACTGCAATGCTACTGGATATCCTCCCCCTGCTCTATCATGGACGAAAGATGGGTCTGACATAAGTAACAGCTCCAGGATCAGCTTTTCAGCAGACGAAGAGCAGTTGGCAATAACCAATACCAGCCGAGTAGACAGCGGAGTATACCGATGTGTGGCGTCTAACCGTCTTGGAAATGATACATCTGGTGCTGCTTTTGTAGATGTCCAGTGTAAGTGCTGCGGAACGTTCATGAGAAAACGAGTTATTTGGGTTATTAACAAGGCTCGATAGTCCAAAAAAAAAAAAAAAGAAGAATCCTTAATGGTTTGGTCCAACCGGTGTATGAATCCCGCATCCTTTTCCTAGTCAGTTGTTTAAACGGTCGCTTTGCAGCTCTGAATCCCAGATAAATTTAATTAGGGTTGCCAGTTTTGCACAGTTTTGCTAAATATAATTTCCCGGGTTGCGACACCCATGATTTAATTCATCTGTTGGGAGGAAGAATTACGTCAAGCAGCAAACATGACTGCTGCAGATGGTCACAATTCGCTCGACTTGTCAAATTAAAGACGAAAGGAAAACAGTGAAAAGTTAAAAAAAATTGAGACGAGGGAGAAAAATAAGAAAGGCTTTGGAACAGCACAGCTATGCAGCTATTGACGCGTGAGAAGGGCAAAGCATGGGCTATGACCGTTACTCTGTTTGAGGATTGACATATCTTTAAAGTTCACTAAATTTGTACGGTTTGGTCTACTTGTACATTTCTGGTGGGAAATGATGTGCAAAATACTAAAATCTTTTTGCATGGAAACATGTCTAATAATATACATGAAAAAATTTCTCAGTTCTGATTGGTTAAGATAAATGCAGTTTTCAGTTAATTCAGTGCAGAAGAGAGTTAATTCAGTGCAGAAGAGAGTTAATCCAGTGCAAAGAAAGAAACTAACCAGACATTCTGATTGGTCAGAATGATTGGTCAGTGTCAATGTCAAGGTCAATGTCACTTGCAGGGTTTGAATAAATTATTTTTGCACGTGATGCGCGCGCTTTTCTTCTGCGTAGTTATGAGAAGCTACCTCGTATTTTTTCATGTATATTATTAATAGATAATCACATGATTTTCTCGTGCAATTTGGAATAAATAAGCACTTGTAAATTTTTTCAAAGACCACAAATTGCACTCGCCCTACGGGCTCATGCAATTTTGTTAGTCTGTGAAAAAATTTACTCGTGCTTATTTATTCGAAATTGCACTCGAAATCATGTGAATACCTATAATAATTGTCGCGTATGTTTTTTTTTTTAGTTGCACCTGGAATCTCCATACCTCCGAGGAATGTCACAGTAGTAAAAGGAGAACATGTGACTTTTACTTGTTCAGTGGTGGGGAACCCGACACCCAGTGTTATTTGGACAAAGAATGGAGAAGACCTGAATGTAACAGCAAACAGTCGATTAAAATTGTCGTCTAGGAACCGTAATCGCAGTTTAGAAATTGCAGAAGTTGACCTCTCAGACTCAGGGCAATACATATGTGTGGCTAATAACAGCCAGGGTAAATTATCCTCATCTGCAGCTACCCTCACAGTACAGTGTAAGTAATATCCTTTAAATGTTTTCAGATATTATTCATTGTATACTAATAAGCCCTTGAGTGCAGTAGTATATTTTGATAACTTGGTTTTATCAACTAAGTTGATAATGCAAATTGGCCTCCCAAAAGAGTTTAAAAGCTGATGTTTCGAGCATTACGAGGGGCTAATTTGACAAAACCAAATTACCTTGTTTCTTCCATCGACGCAGCATCACAGTTTCTTTGGAAACTAACCCCCTTCATTCATTATATCATCATACCTTTGTTACAGTGTGAATCGGCTGTGAGCCTTTGTAAGATATCAGAGCAGACGTTGCCAAAAAGACTTTTGATAGTAGCACTAGTTTTATGTCTGAAGTCGTTTTATTTTACTTCATCAGAATTGTTAAAGGCGCCAATTAAATCTCTCTTTTACTTGCTCTCCATAATCTGTCCTCGTTATTAGGGGTGAAAAAAACTCTCGACTGGTAATCATTAACGATAGTCCAACTTTCTTGTTTTTATTTTGTTCTTCCTACAGATGTACCAGACCCACCAAAGGATGTCGAAGTGATCTCAAGAGGATCACGGGAAGTAAATATCTCCTGGACGGCTGGGTTTGACGGAAACAGTGCCATCCAGAACTACACAGTGAAAATCAGTGAAGATGAGCAGACTTTCAAAGATGCCATATGTCAAGGAACACTCATAGACAGTGCTTGTGTGATTTACTCCACGAGAGTTTCTATTAAAAAGCTGTTTCCTTGGACAAAATATTACCTCAAGGTGTTCGCCAGGAACGTTATTGGTGCTAGTAGCCACAGCTCCGTTGTAAATGTTACCACCAATGAAGAAGGTGCTTTTTTATATTTTGATTTCTCTTTCATTTAAAAAATTTTAAGTTGTACCTGTATTTTGTCACGGCAACGATAGCTCAAGAACTGATAAATTGATTAAGTAAGGTGTTAAGCTAAATAATATCTTGTCTTACATGTGTTTTGTGTTATTTGCTTGTTTGTTTGTCTGTCTGTTTTGCAATGTGCCTATCTCTTTGTTTTTTAATCTGCTTCTAACTAAGTCTCCTGTTCCTTCTTTAGCCACTTCTTGCGTGCTTTACAATGGAACAAAGCACAGCCAAGGCTTCTCTCTTTGTTAAACAATTGTCCTTTGTATAAAAAACTATATAATACAATTGCATATTTTTTGTGACTTCCGTCGAGAAATGTTCAATCATTTTCTTACAGTGCCAAGTTCTGCTCCAGCTTTCAAGGTGACTGCCCTCAATTCTACGGCTGTAAAAGTTTCTTGGCAGGTATTAAACCCATTTCTCTTTGCATAACATTTATAAGAGTTTATTTTTCCGCCCACCACGTTTTGTATATTATAACATATAAAACGTTGTGATATTCTGTTAATTTTTAAGTGGAATAAACAGAAGAAGAAGCGAACTTTTAAACTGTTTATTCACCAACTTACTTGGTTTTTTTTTTAAGGAAGCACACGAGCGTATACTTGTGTACTGTATCCATTCCATTGACTGGCTGTAGCGGCCAAAGAAACGTATCTTTTCCATTATTTTGTTTTTATATTCTATATCTGCGAATGATTTGGGATGAGAGGATACAATACCAAGGAATATGTTGGATGTAGTATATTGACCAGATGCTTGTGTCAAAAAAATATATCAATGTTCATCATGGAATTAGTATCAATTACTCTATGGAAAGACAAGAAATTGAAAGGAGTTTGTGGAGCCTGGTCAAATTGCTGTACAAATGAAATATCAGTTGACCTTTTTTTTATACTGGGGTGAACTATTGCCTTCTTGTCCTATAAGTACTAATTTGATATATTTGTTGATTAATTTTTAACAATTCATGTGCTTCGTAAAACGGTATCATTTTTATCATTGCAATCTAGATGCTCTCTAACCAAGATGCCAGAGGCATTATAATGGGCTATTACATTCTGTACAAGAGGAAAATTGAGCCAGAGGCATCGTGGAGGAACAGAACTGTTAACAAGGCGAATACTACGTCTTTAGTACTGGCGTCTCTAGATGAATACACATCGTATCAGTTTGCCATACAGGCTTTCAACAGTAAGGGTATAAGTAATCGGAGTGAAATTGAGGAGACGAAGACAGATGAAGATGGTAAGTTGCTTAAACAGCTTCTAGTTGCTTAGTAGATTTCTGTCGACAAAATACTCAAAGCATAGTGGGCCAGTTGTTTGAGAAATTTCAAAACCGCATTCTAAACTATCTTCAATATAGCTGAACCTTTTATCTGAAGATTTTTCTGAACAGTGTCAAGAGGGCCAAAATTTACCCTGGAATTAATATTCAATTGATCCTATCAACCCTTTTATAGAGAATACCTGAGGCCCACTAATTGCGTAAAACCGCGATTTAGGCTAGACCGCGAGTAAAAACCGGCCCACTAAGTTACATAGTCACTTATCTGAACCAAAACGCAAAAATGTTACTCAACTAGTACTTTTAAAGAGTAACTCCGACAGTACCTAAACATGATTGCTTCAAAGTCTTCGGTTTTGCGCATTTGTTGCTCTTGTTTTTATTGTTTTTTTTTTTTTCTTAAAGTGTATATGACATGAAATTTTTTTTTTCTTTTCTGCTAGTTCGATATATATAACAAACGGTTCGAGAGTTAAAAATCGTTGAAAATAATTATAAACACATAGTTTTCGTTAAACTACGCGCTAAGTTGGCTTAAAATTTGTCCCCTCGAACGCGCGGCCAAAAGGTCACGTGAACTTAACCTGTGACGTCAGGTTGTTTGACTCTCATTAGACCACTTTCATAAATGGCTGCCGGATTAAAATTCTTTTGTTTACATATAAATTTGCCAGGGTGGCCTCGTTCTCCAGTACAAAATTCAAAAGAATACATTATCTCAAGCGAGGCCACTCGGGCAAATTTAATATTAATCCGGCAGCCATTTATGAAAGTGGTCTATGGCGGAAAAGAAGAGGCCAGTACGGAAAGGTGGACGTTATTGTGTGGCTGGGGCGCCCAACAATAGAAGCTGTACGAATACCAGCTACACACCGGGTATTTCGATGCACCAGTTTCCTGTAAATCCAACAGTGAGAGCCCAATGGGTGAAATTCGTGCAGCGGCACCGAGTTGATTTCGGCGAACCTGTTGCCAAACATGCCTCGTTGTGTTCGGCTCACTTTGAGCAAAGTTGTTACGAGGGCAGCTTGGCATTTTCGCTGGACGGTATGACGCAGATAAAACGGAACAAAGTTCTTATCAAGGGCTCTGTTCCAACAAGACATGCAGTTCTACCAGAAGGTCCTGAAGTTCTGACAGATCGCAAAAGGCGACAGGTAAGCGTTTTCTCGTGATCTCCGATCATAAACATTAACATGTGTAAGTTTTTCTGATGTAAATAACCTATTCTTTTGGAAGCATTTATGTGTAAAATGTCCGTGTCTAATTGCGGTTTTGCCGTGCTGAAAGCAAACTGAACTGCTAAAACCTATACCTTAGTGAATCATCAACATGTTCACTGGAGTTTTGAGTATTGATTTATACAAGCTTTGTGATCGTTTCGAATCCTACACATAATCTTAGCAAAAGCAAGGGTGTCTTGTGCTCGATATATTTTATCAACCAGGATATTTTATGTTTTTGCTGCAGCTAAGGCGTGATGCCTTTGCAGAGTTTCATGAGTTGGAGGCGAAGAAAAGGAAGGTTGATGAGGCNAGGTGCCTTAATTTACCCTGATTTATCTGAAGCTTAATGTTTTATGCCCAGCAAAGTGATTATGCTAGTTTACACATTGTATGTTTTTATTTATGTTTTTACTAAAAATGTACTGACTCGTTTTCTGACTCCACCTCGGCGACGGTAAGTCCCACCATCCTGGTTTCTCAACAAGGGAGCCACTTGGAGAAGAACTGCGCGGTTCGTAATCGCATCGTAGTCCTCGTGTTGTGTGATGCATTTTATCCGTTCAATGGAACCATCAAAAACCATCTTTGCAGATGAATTTGTTACCTCTCTGCAACATCGAAACTCCAGGGAACCAACTAACGTCCCGGTATTACATTGCTCGCAGCGACACCTGAAGAAGACAGCAAAAATGAATTGTTGTCGAACAAAGATTTGCTATAAGTATATATACAAGGAATTTTAAAGGACCAGTTTTACTAACCAGGAATCTACGTCTACAGTTCTCTCGTATCTAGCCTCCAGAGTTGACGGGGTAAGTCCATCAACATCGGTTTCTTCGCTCGAAACGCCAGTTTCTTCGTCGTTCTCGTCCGCGAGCGGCTCATCTTGATATGGAGCTATCACACCAGTGATAACTCCCCATTCCTCTTCAGAACTGTCGCTTATTCCACAATCCATACTCTCTATAGAGTCAGACGACTCAATACTCTCGGAATCGCTGGACATTTCGAAGCGTGAAACGATAGAATTAAGCGAGTAATCACAGCGTGTTACAAGGAAAACACTGATATTTGTTGACCTTGCCAATCAAAGGATCAAACAACCTGAAGTCACGAGTCTAATTCTCGCCCCAGTCTCCGGGAACAATTTTACACAAAAATTTGGCATGTTTCGGGGGCTAAAAATTGACCAAAAAATTTGTTTCATTCATTTTAAAATCTCAAACCGTTTATTATACACATGGAACTAGCTATCAACGAAAAAAAAAATTTCGTGTCATATACACTTTAATTTGAGAATATGAATTGTGTCCCAGTATTTTGGAGATTCCTTTGGAAGCGATACCTCTCAAAAACGGAAAAATTGATAAACCGCGATACGTGTTAGGTTTTACAGCAATTTTCAACCAAGTGCCCAAGATTTCATTGGTTTTCCTTTACTTCGTTACGTGAGTGGTCCAGAAAATTCGCGTTACTTGGTCAACCAATCAGCTAAAACCAAACGCGCTTTATCCACTCACGTTATCCCGCGCTTCGTGCAGTTTTCTTGTTTTTATTGCGAGTTCTCATTGGCTCCCTGTTACATATTCCTTGCTGTGATTATCTATCGAGAGCGATTTAGGCTCTATATCTTGTCTAGTTTTGTTTTGTTTTACTCCTTTTGTTTGTTATTTGATTTTTTCCAATATTTCTTTCTCCTTTTTTCAACTCTACATTAAGCATTCTATATGCCTTAAGCTGTCTTAATTGCATTTAGAAGCAAGTACTACAAATGTATATTTCTGGGAACGTTAAATAAGAAATAATCAATTCTTTATTTACAGTGCCACGTGCTGCTCCAGCTTTCAAAGTGACTGTCCTCAGTTCAACGGCTGTAAACGTTTCTTGGCAGGTATTTAACCCACTTTTTTTACAATAGCATTTATTAGTGTTCCCTTCTCGTTCATTCCATTATCTACCGTTATCTTGCCGTGCAAGTGAAATATTGGTTAACCTGTTGTATTAGGTACAAGTTGATATCTTTATTTGTTGATTTTAATCCATTCTTATCCTTCATAAAACGGTATTTGAGCTAGTATTATTATTTCCATCTAGATCCTCACTAAACAAGATGCTAGAGGCGTCATTCTGGGTTACTACGTTCTATACAGGAGAGTAAGCGATCCGCAGGTCGACTGGGAGAACAGAACAGTTAACAGAGGGGAAACCACGTCTTTATTGGTGGCGTATCTAGAAAAATACGCATCATACCAGTTTGCCATACAGGCTTTCAACGGCAAGGGTGTCAGTGATTGGAGTGAAATTGAGGAAAGGAAGACAGATCAAGACGGTAACTTGCCTTTCAATTGTTAAGTAAATTTCTATAATTTTAAGTGCCTGCTTAATGTTCTGTTGCTTTTTGTTTTCCCGTCTGTCTCTCATCAAGTAGATTAACTTCCAGGTTATGATGTTATGATAACCTTTGAAGGCAGCTTCTGCATATGCAAGTACTCTCCACTAACTGAAGTTCTCGAAATCGTGGCGCGCGCGCGCGTGTGTTTGCTGGAAAATATCAGGCAACGGAGACATTTGCCAACGTGTTTTGCAGTTGTAATTTTGGCGTATTGTGCTACAGTTCTCAACCTAGCGATGACTTAAAGTACATCACTTGTATTTTATTTTATGTCTAACTCCTTAAAACTGATTTTGTGCGTTTCAGTACCTTCCGCGGCACCGGAGTTGAACACCGCTGAACCAAAAAACAGTACTAGTATTGAATTGACATGGGAACCTGTTCCTAAAAGCAATTTGAATGGCATTCTCACTAAGTATGTCATTAGGTTTTCAATTGTTGATGATGAGAAGAAAATAAAGAAGAAAGTAGAAAACTATGCGTCAAAAGTGGTGATAAATGGGCTCAGAGCATCGACTAGTTACTCGTTTCAAATTTCGGCTGCAACTGTCAAAGGTGAAGGCCCATGGAGCAAACCCAAGAAAGCTAAAACGAAAGGTGAGAAAAAAAACAGCTTAATAACTAATAATGATGATTGTAATACTAATGATGATAGAAATTATTAATATTATAATAATGATAACTTCAATCTCCAAAATTATTTTGCCAAGAGCAGCGTCTTTTTGGCATTATGTAATTATTCATATAAATCGTATAAATATTTTATCATCTTTGTCTTTTCCTTAAATCTTGAACGCAAAAAAGGGGGAAAAGGTAAAATACTGCTTGAAAACAGGTCCCTATTGTACAAAATTGAAGGTTTCGTAATTTCTCTAACCAATAAAAACCACATCAAACCAGCTAAAATATTATCTAAATGAATATCATAACAAAAAATGTTTAGAACTCTTCCCTTTTTAATAATTATTTATGATAATAATGTTATTAATGATAATAATGATAATGATGATAATAATAGAAATAATAATTGTGTCAGTGGTAACTATGAACGACGTTGCGTTTCCTCTTGTAGTACGAGTGGGAGAAAAAGAAAAACATCGGAAAGAATTTTTATCAAGATCTTCTAAAATCTTGCCCATCGGGTACTGCAAAGATCTCACGAACCACCTAAATGATAATTAAAAGCAACGATACCTCCCATTAGGATGAAGTTATAATGTGAATCTTTAGCAAATGATAATAATGATAATGATGTTGATGATCATATAATTGACAAGAACAACATTAATAATGATAGTATTAAAATTAATCCTAATGCCGGTGATAAAAACCATGGTAACAATAAAGCAATGGGAAAACTTGTGTAAATGTCGATATCAATAAATTATTGGAGAAGTATACTAAACGTTATCAAGAAATATTTTTACCTATTTACCTCGTTATTCGATTTTCAGGGTTTGTCTTCTTTGTTGAACTTATTTTCTCATTCTTTGGAGTATTTCATATTTATTTACATTTTCAGTAATTTCTAAAATCTGTTTTTTGAAATTGCATTTATATGTGTTCCTCTTTGTTGTAGACCCACCCGTCCCTCCTACTCCTAGCGACATTGGGACAACTGAAGTTACTGTTGCCTTTGTGCCCAGGCAAATTTTAAGTAGTGGAACAGAAGTCAGGTTAGAATTGATTATTTCAAACATCGGTTGCTTTGTTTCGATTGTCCTAGCAGGAGGAGAAGTGGAAACTAGAAGCATCGAGATTCAACTCTTTCGTACGAACAACTAAGCTTCATTGGCTCTACGCGTTACATCTTAATATCCCTCAAATTTCCTAATCTAACAATTAATTCCATATATTTTTACCAGTTCTCATACGAAAATGTGCACCAGATAGGAGTTTAAGCCTTGTTATTGCAACTTGCTCTTTTTTCCAAGTCGTGATATTTTCAAGTAATTCTAGAACTAACGATTAGGTCATTGCGAGCTTTTATCTGCATTGTATTCAGTTTGGTAAAGCAGATATCATTTTGATATCTTTCATTTGCTCGTTCGATAGTTGATTTTTTCAATTTCTTCTTTACTTTAAATGGAATACCGACATAACACTTCAAACGCTTTTCCTTAAACTGTTTTTTTTCTCAATATTTTTTAATAATCACTTTCAGTTACTACCAAATCATGGTCGTACCCCTAAGAAAAGGAGAAGAGCCTGGAAAATCATCAGATGAAGTCTATGTTAAAGTAACCAGAAAATATGAAGATAGAGTGGAAGGGGAACCCTACATAACGGCCGAATTTTCCAACAACAACGAGCGAAGAACAACGTTTCCTGTTGGAGATGGGGAGTACTACTCGAGAAAAGGTCATATTGAAGCGAGAAGAAAGCACAGAGCGGGTGAGTAAATTCGACCCAAAGCCTTGTAATTATGATTTTTTTCCTAATGGCGCTGAATCACAAGTTATATTGTGTTTATCTATTTTCATCTACGTATTTTCTTAACCTCATGTTGGCTTGCATCACTCTGTAATGAATGCAACATTTGAAATCGAGATGAGAAAAATAATTATTGTAAGGTAATTATTGGCACTTTAAATTACACCAGTGTGAGCCTTTATTCCATGCGATACTGAAGGTCGTTTGTATCGTCCCAATCTCTTCAGGCGAGAAAAGCATGTGGCGATCTGGACGAACACAATCATGACAATTTAACAACTTGGACCGTTGGAGTAACCACAATTCTTATCATGAAAATACACTCCACCCTTACGAAACTTTTCCGAGACTATTCGGGCCATCGAGACAATCCAGACTCACCTTCAGTTTCTAGCAAACAACGATCGGGGATCTATCAACCCAAACTACCTCTTCCACTGCCCCCCTCCTCCCTTCTGGTTCTGACAATGGATCAGGAGTCGACTTCAAGGTCAACCTCGTATGATTACATCCTTAAGGAGGGTGTTAAATTAATGGCAGGTGACATCTCAATCTGTAATTTTTTTTTTCGACTTGGAAGTCAAATCTTACACGTAATTTTGAGTGTTCTTTGCTGCATCCTCAAGATTGGTCATGCTTTATTATTATTATTGCTATTATTATTATTATTATTATCATTATTATCATCATTATTATTACTATTATTATTACTTTTTTTTTAGAATTCACCAAGTATCTTAATGGCAAGCTTGACGACGACACAGAGTATGCTGTTTTCCAGCGTTCTCTTAGCAGCCCTAATGATTATCAAAATGAGGGATTTACTCAATTCAAAACCCGTAAACCGATACCTCCTGTATTGGAACCGGAGGATAAGACCGTGATTGTTGTTGGAGTATTTATAGGGCTGTTTATAGTGTGTGTAGTTGTTGTCGGCGGAATTGTGATTGTCTGGTTGCGCGGTCGACAGCGGACCAATGAGAATGAGGTCGACGAAGACATTCCTATGGAAGACAGAGGTTATGGTAGGTTCCTCTTCACTACCTAGTATAACTATCACTAAGTTGAAATCATTTCGTTGTTTATTGGCTCTTTGTGGTCCTGCCGAAATTTTCTTTGGCATCTGTTACATCACCGTGACCACTTTCCTTACGAAAGTTAAGAAATAGTTACATCTCACCATTTCTTTTATAACATTGAGACTTGAAAACATCTTTCATTTCGGTACTGTAACATTCACACGAAAGCATTCACGTGGTAGACGAGTTGAAGCATTTCACTTTGACATACAGTTCCTCTCACCAACATCATTGTGTAGTAAAGTGTTACGCGTATGGTTGTAAAAAAAGGCAATGATTCTGTAAAACCGCTCTGTAGTTGTCAATGCCTCCTTTAAACCAATGCAAGAGCATAAGAAAATGTGTAACTATTATGAATTTCCGCCTGTTTCCATCGGAACGTACCTGTATCAATAGCTTTGGATGGAACAGAATACTGTTTGTTTCTATCTCATGTCTGTGCACTGATAGTTTTATAAATTCTACTTAGAAAACTTCGTTCCAGAAGGGGAAATACCCGTCGAGGACTTTGAAGACCACGTGAAACACCTTAACGATGATGACTTATTTTCTGTGGAGTATGGTGCCATACATCCTCGAGGAAATTTTACTTCTAAAGCCACTCTGTCCGAGGAGAACAAACACAAGAACCGTTACAACAATATTGTTGCGTACGACCACAGCCGAGTGAAATTAAATCCAATCAAAGGTGTACCAGGTTCTGACTACATTAACGCCAACTTCTTGAACGGTTATCAGAAGGAGAAGGCATACATCGCCACCCAAGGACCACTTGAACACACCACAGATGACTTCTGGAGAATGGTCTGGGAGCAAGGGACAAAAACCATCGTCATGGTTTGTGCTTTCTATTAATAAATAGTAATCAACGTAGATCATGTGCAGTTATTTAATTGCGTTGTATCCACTTACCATGCATTATGCAGCATAGCCAGAAGAGAAAGTATCGCATCTTTCCATGTCTATCATTAAATGTGAACTGTATTATGTTACATATTTTAATAACATTCGCCTTTGAAGTTCTGACCCCAGTTGTTCAGAGATTGGATAAGACTATCCTTTTACTAAATCTCTATTCAGTGGATAGCACAATACATTTTGTTAACCTGACCCTTATCCGCTGGATAGCGACTTTTCTGTTTGATAGCATTATCCGTCCCTTGAACAGCTTTGTCAGGTATTATAAGCTCAGAACATTCATGTGATTACTGATTGAGGCTTTTTCTCTTTCAAGTCGCGCACCAACCCTTGCTCTCGTCCTTCGTAGATATTTTTTTTTTCTTAACACTCCCATGATAGTTAAGCCTATCGAAATATTTAAACTTTTCGCTGTGTGTCTTAAAGCTCTGTGGTTTCTGTGACATGATCCTTGTGGGAAATTGCTTATTTCTCTGCGATGAGATGTTAAGTCATGAATGGTTTACCGCCCCTATCCCACCCCTTTCCTTTCCCGTACGATATCATCAGTCTTCCTTGACGCCTGGCGAGCGCCTGCTTATACTTCTAGTTGGAGACAGGCTTTGAGAAAGATGAGGTGCTTGTTGCCCAATCTCCTTTCCCCCGTCAATAACCCTACAAAGTTCACCGCGACGTGCTTGAACCATGCCCGTTCACCCCATTCTAGGTGACAAACTTGGAGGAGAAGGGTCGCCTGAAATGTCACCAGTACTGGCCATCAGAAGGTACAGAATCGTATGGTGACATTAAAGTAACCTTGGTGCAGACGGTGGAGCTCAGTGAATTCACCATCCGCACCATGACTCTAAACCACGCCAATAACACCGAGCAACGAACTGTCAATCAATATCATTACACAGTATGGCCGGACCATGGCGTTCCTGAGTGTCCATCTTCACTCCTCACGTTTGTGAGAAAGGCTTCTGGAGCAAATCCTCCAGACGCGGGGCCTATGGTAAGTTATCTTGTATTTGGCCAAAACGAGTCAGAAAGGATTTAATTGAGGAGTGGGGGAGGGAGAAATAAGCTAAACGTTTTATCGCGAAGCGAACGGTGAATTTTATAGTTGGAATATTACTAGTGACTTCCTTGCTAATGAAATCTGAACAAAAACCTCCCCACTAACTTTTCTCTCTGTGATCGTTATGCTGCATCGTACAACTGAGCACAGAAGATGTCTTGGCAAGAATGTTTTTGCGGATAAACTTGTGACACATGTTAAATATTGCAGTCGAATGAGAAATTGTTGCGATTTTTAAGTTCTGTGAAGGTTTTTATACGAGCTGTATTATCGTCCCTTTTGAGCGCGTGAAACAATTCAGATGCACAGTGTGATCGTCATCTTCTTCTGAAAACAAATGATCCTAGAGAGGAACGTTTTCAAAACCCACGCACATTTCACCTGCAGAAATAATAAATGTTTCTTTAGTAGTTCAGGTATATTATTAGTGAATTGTCGTTCAGGTTGTTCATTGCAGTGCTGGAGTGGGAAGAACTGGTACATTCATTGTGGTAGACGCAATGTTACGCCGCATTGCTGCAGAGAAAACAGTGGATGTCTACGATTATGTCACGTCACTGCGACAAGATAGAAATTTGATGGTGCAAGTTGAAGAACAGTACATTTTGATACATGATGTCCTGGTGGAGGCCATCCATTCCGGATTTACTGAGATACACGCAAATGATCTCAGATCTCACATTAAGAACCTCATGCAAGTGAACCAAACGAGTGGTGGGTGTTTTTTCCACAAAATACCATCACATTAATCCCTTATGTTATAAATTGGAAATAACCAATAAATCCATAATTTTTTTTTCTTGTTAACTGTTATTGTATGAACTCTAGGCTTAATGGCAATCACATAACCAGTTTATTGGAGATGCCTCATTCCACTTGTGTCTTTATAAATGTGGTGCTTTTATTTTAAACACCCCTCTAGCTTTAAGGCTTTGAAAGCTTTCTGATGAGATCAAGCTAGTCTCTATTAAGCTCAGTCTCCCTTAATGTTTTTTTTTTCAATCTCTAGCTCAATTTTGATGTCAGACTGTCACTATTTTATGTTGTTAGGCCAAAGTGAGATGGATGAGGAGTTCATTCGGTTAGGTCGCTGCTTCAGCGCTTCTCAGTTCACAACTCAGGCTGCTAACATGGCCTGCAACGTGACCAAGAATCGTTATCCAAATGCGTTTCCTTATGATGAAACCCGGGTTAAACTGAGTGTAATCTCTGGCGTGGAAGGCTCCGACTACATCAATGCTAACTTCATTGATGGTTACATGGCCAGGAGAGCATTTATTGCAACTCAGGCACCCATACCTGACACTATTCCAGACTTTTGGCGAATGATCTGGGAACAAGAATCTTCCACCATAGTCATGTTATCCAAGGAAACAGAAGGTGGCAAGGTATGCTCAATCAACCGACAATTTATCAATAAAGCAATCAATCAATGCACTAGTCTAGGATGAGGTTACCAATCTATGTTATGGATGGTTATCTTTTACTAGGGTAAATAAAGATGTCATTTGCATTTCATTGGTAAATAAAAGGCAAATACT